TCATCAAATCAAATCAAATCCATCACCCGCGCTTGATGCCCTCAATCTTGGCCACAACATCCTCCAGCGCCTCCTGCAGCGCGCGCTTTTGGCACTCAATCACCGCCGATCCGGACGTGGATGACTGCAGCGACGAGACGGAGCTCAGCGAGGTCGTCGACGACGAGCGCGCCCCCAGCGCCGACAGGGACGATATTCGCTGCAGCTTTGCCAGAAGCGGCTGGAAGTGCTGTTGCAACTGTGCCATCACCACATACGCGCGTGCCAGCGTCTGCGCCTGGGCTCCAAGCGCGTAGCTGCCCAGGAATGCCGGCGGGCTCTTCACCCGCGAGGACGGGCTGGTGGGCTCGCCGTCGCCCGCCACATCCAAGGCTGCCGAGTACCACGACAGCGCTTTTTGGACCGCCAGGAACAAGGCCGTGAGAACCTCTTGATCATGGCAGCACGGCGGGCAGTCGAGAATGCTGGACAGTTTTTCCAAGGCTGCGCGATTGCTGTCCAGCACATGGTCGAACTCGCGAATGTTGTGGGATGGTGCGCCCGCGGCTATGGGGCACGCTGAACTTGATACATGAAGTTCGGAGAAGATCTGGAGCGCCGTACTTATGCATCCACCACCACCATGTGTCGTCGCCCTGCCGCCATCGCTCCGTTGACTAGGAGGCGATGATGACGATGAAGGCCGTGTTGACGCTTCTGCGTCCAGCTCTGGAAGATAACCTGCTGTCGATGTCCCACACAAAAGCGTGCTGTCTATGTCGAATGAATTAATGGGTTCCGGCTCAGCTTGGTAGCCACCCGGGTCAAAAAAGTCGAAGTACTGCATGTCTATATCCTGGATGTCTGTCGTGATGGGCTGGTGCCACAGGCTATTGTCGAATGTCTCCAAACCATCTAGCAATGCAAAGTCGCTCATGGCGGGCGACCGCTTGCCATCGATCTTAACAGAGTCCGGGGCAACGCTGGAGGTAGGAGCATTGGATATTGTTGTTTCAGGCTCAGGCGTTGCTCGAACAGAATGACGCCTGGTGCCGGTACGCCGCGAGATGTTGTACTGACATAGGAGTCCTTTATTGACGCAACGGGCACAAGCGGGGCGTTCTTTGGTGCAGCGGATCTTCTGGCTAGAGCACTGGTGGAGCGGTCAGTCGTGCCGAGCGGCGAAGCACGCACAAGAACATACGTGAGTGCACGATTCCCTGATCTTCGGGCGCTTGAAAGATGTGTCTCTTGTGTTGGGTGCATCGCCTGCGCTCCCCTTCGCCATGGTTGAAAGCCTATCGGACAGTGTTGTCAAGGATGCGTGTTAAAGAACGATCGGGATCGAAGTGCCTTCTGATGTGCTACCCACAGACTTCTCAGCTCAACATATATCTCCCTCCGCCATCAGCACGCACTTCCGTTGGCATCCTAGCAGATGGAATCGGAGCAACGACACTTTTTAAGCTAATCGCCGCTCATCAACGTGCGCTAGGGAGCGAGAGTCGAAACGCGTGGCGACGCTGCGCCCGTCGAAACGGTTCGCACGTTGCGTCTGCAACTAGTTGTGAGTCTGTGTTTACCATTGAGCGTATCCCAGCACAGACGACTCTGACAGCTCGTACCCTGGAACGCTTAGTGTCCCAGCAACTTGATAGAGGACGGCGGAGGCCATTGCGCTATGGTACCACTGTCCGAATGTGGCGGTGCGTGTCAGAAGCGTGCGTGCGATCCTGGGGGCATGCAAGGTTGATTATGCACCAGCAGTACCATGAAGCGAGATACAGCACGCGAGCGAGGTCCGTCAGTGCAGTGAGATCAACAGCGCCGCCGGACTTGGCTGCGCCCTCCTGGAACCTAAGTCATCTAAACATGTCCCACTTATTCCACATGTGCGCTACTTAGTCTTGCATCGCGAGCGCGCCTGTAAGCACCCACAATCAGCGAACTTGCAGCTGCATGCGAATGTCTCTGGCAGAGAGTCCCCGTATCAAGCGAGCAGTAGAAGTCCCCGACCAAGCAATTCTCCGAGCGTGCCGATGGAGTGTTCAAGGTGTTGCACATGGCAGTGTGACGCTACTAGCACCGTCCCGGAAGGTAAGAGATTGATCTGCAGCGCGCCGGTCCCGATCCTTGAGCGTCCACGTTCTCGTGCTTCGAGGATAGGACAGTAGGCGTTGCTTCCGTACTCAGTAGGCGCTCAGGCACGAACAGCACACTTGACCGCCAAGATCATCTGCATGCAGTAGATGGCTAGGCGCTGCACGGAACAGGGTCGCGAATGGCGTGAATATGCACATTCTATCGCCATCCTTGGTCGTCTTCACAGGCGGCATGTCAACTGCTGTTGTTGTGTCAAGCCTAGCCGGGCCCGGAGTTGCATCCGTTCCGTATAGTGTCCCGACTGCCGACTGCACGTGATGGCGCGATTCGGCTCAGCGACCCTTCGTAACTCTTCGTTCGACCCCAGCGCCCCGCAAACACGGACGGCGACCCCGATGATCACGCAGAGACCGGTGCTTGTGGAGATGCAACAGCCTGGCTGGCCTTAACTTTGATGGACGGAGCCTGGGCAATCGTCTGGCCCTCGACACGGCTCTGCCTGGTCGCCTGGCGGTGGTGCCACAATCTCGCGCGTCCGACCGGCGCTTTCTGGCCGTACGGGTGATCTGCAAGTTTGGTTCTCAGCCTGTTGAGCCTCCTCGTTCGCCCAGTATGGCCCGGACGCTCCATCATGAGTTGCAAATGATGTAACGCAGTCGACGTCATGAAGAACAGGAGACAAGGCAACTGTGGAGGGCGATCACACGTTGTGCAGAAGTCATAAAGGCGGATGGGTCAGCGAGCAGACCTTATCAGACATACCCAAGCAGTGTGAACATCATCCCAGTTCTACAGACATGGCATCATCTAACCGAAGAGTCCTGGTCAATGGCGGAGGACCCGCTGGCGCCGTGACGGCTTTCTGGCTTGCCAAGGGCGGCTTCGAGGTGGTTGTTACAGAGCGCTCAATGAGTCGGCCCTACGGACAAGGGGTCGACGTCACGGGACGCGCTTCCGACATTATCAAGAAGATGGGATTGGAGCAACGCATTCGAGACAGCACTACCGGTGAAGCAGGTCTGACCGTTGTCGACGATCAAGGCGAAGATGTTGCTCCCCCGCTGGGTACTGCACCTATCGAGGGAGGAACGGCCAGCGTCACACAAGAAATCGAGATCATGAGACGGGACTTGACAAAAATCTTTGTAGACGCTGCAGAAGCATTGCCAAATGTCACGTTCCGATATGGCTGCACGGTCGACGAAGTTCAACAGCATGAGAAGTCAATCACTGCCGTTTTATCCGACACAGGCAAACCAGAAGACTTCACTGCGATCATTGGTGCAGACGGGCTTGGATCAGCTATACGCAAGCTCACATTCGATCCGGAGATCAACAGACGTTCTGTGTCGCCGACCAATACCTACGTTGCGTTCTTCTCCATACCAGGTGATCCAAAGTACGTAAGCTCGGCCGCGAGAAGGCTTTTCCCTCCCCCATCACTATGTCCGCGGAGCGAGCTCTGTGGTAGCGAGGTTGGACACGACGCGAATGCGTCGCAAAGACCTGCCTCGGAGACGCATATCGTCTAACGATGAAGTAGGTACGATACCCCAGTCGGCAAACTCCAACATGCCAACAAAGGTCGCGGAATACTTGTCCGCCCCATTGATAAGAAGGGCACTCAAAGGTCATGTTACCTGATGTCGCAGTCCGATAGCCAGGAGCTGGCACAGGTTGCACGAACTGGATCGCAAGAAGACCAAAAGGCTCTTTTGGACAACAGATTCAGAGAGTTCACGGGCCCACTGGGTAAACGAGCCGTCGAAGGTATGCACAGCGCTGACGACTTCTACTTCACCCGCATAGTGCAAATCAAATTGGACTCGTGGCATAGTGGGCGAGCGGCTCTGGTGGGGGATGCTGGTTACTCTCCTTCTCCGCTTACAGGGCAAGGCACAACTCTTGCTATCATCGGTGCCTATGTGCTCGCGGGTGAGATGGCCAAAAGTCCGGACGATCTAGAACGGGCTTTCACCTCGTATTACGCTATACTCAACAAGTTTGTCAGCGAGTCCCAGGAAATTCCATTTGGAGGTCAAGCTCCGAAACTTATCTTGCCACAGTCAGACTGGGGCATATGGCTTCTTCGCACCTTCTACAAAATCATCTCCTGGACAGGCATCTGGCGCTTGCTCAATTTCGGGAACGAAACCGTAAAGGTTGAGCTTCCTGAGTACGATTTTGGTGGGCTGGATTGATGCAATGTGCTAAAGAAGCACGTTGCAAGGCAGGCGAATTCCCATATATGCAGACAGGACTTACATACGGCAGATACTCAGCGCAATGATTCAACGCAGCTTTTTAATTCCCCGACTGTGTCAGTTACCGGAAAGAATGCCTTCCCCGAGGCGATAGTGTCTGCACTGCCTCTCGGCTTGGCCCGGTCGAGATTATGCTGCAGAGATCTATCCGAGAGACCGAAGCGACTGCTTTGCATGAGAGTAAGCTCTTGGGATTGTCTGCTTCCTTCTCCGACAATGCACACAGGTCTCTGCTAATTAGCATGATGAGGAGATTTGATTGTGTTGCAACCGGTGTCGGGGGCACGTAACCCACCCAACAGTACCTTCTCGATGACTTTGTGGAGCGCGCTTCACAATCACCGGTCACGTGCTCGCACCCAATCGCGCAGACCTCACACGGCCGGGGATCAGCACACGACACCGAGCTCAAGGTGGCCGAGTGTGGCAACAATGCTCGAAGGCAAGGCGTACTTCGCGCTGGCTGATGTGCAAATACTTGCAATGACACCCATTGTCTCGCTTTTCCAGCTCACTCGTTCTCTGAATATCTTCGCCACGAATTGATTCATCATCATGTTGGGGCTTAATTTACAACAGGTCCTCTCCAATGTTCCTACGATATCCAGCATTGTCAGTGGTGTAGGCTCATATCAACATGGGTCAGACAGCAGTGCATGGGCTTCTGTGGCGGCGTCAAAATCTTGTGTCAGTAGCCATTGATCTTCAATGACGCAAAGATCAGACACTGACGCAAATAATAGTGCGATGCGTTGACCAAAAGTTTGGGCAAGAATTCAGTGGTTTTCCCATATGATGCGGCCTACTCTCAATCAATGGGCTCATACTTCAGCTTGAAGAATAGCGACCTCCACCCCAGTTGCATAGCACTTCCACGATCAGCAGAAGATGTCTCGAAGGCAGTGCGCACATTGTCTCTCGGCGCACACAAATGGGAGGGGCAATGCCAATTCGGCGTCCGAGGTGGTGGCCATACGCCCTTCAAAGGAGCCGCAAGCACCGACAACGGGATTGTGCTCGATCTTCTCCACATGCCGTCCGCGGGCATATCGCCAGACTATGAAACCATTACAGTGTCACCCAGTACGACATGGGATCTGGTATACGAAGTCCTCGATGCTCACAACCGAAGCACGCTTGGTACCAAAGTCGCCGGTATCGGTGTCGGAGGAGCGTCAACGAGCTGCGGAGTCTCCTATTTCTCGCCTCGCTATGGATATATTTGCGATATGGTAGAGAACTGGGAAGTCGTTCTGGCCACCGGCGATATCGTCAATGCCAACGCGAATGAGAATCCCGATCTCTGGAAAGCGCTGCGAGGTGGAATCAACAACTTCGGCATCGTCACCGCTGTTACATTGAAGACCTTTGGACAAGGCCCCTTCTGGGGCGGCCAGACCTTCCACTCCATCGACACCCGCCAAGAACACTTCAAGAATCATGAGAAACTGGCCTCGGCGCATCCCTATGATCCATACGCACATTACATCAATACTCTTGTCTGGGCAAACGGAGGCCATTGGTTCATCGGCAACAGCATCCAGTACACCAAGAGCGACCCGCCCGTGGCAGAGCCAGAAGTCTTCAAACCGTTCCTCAAGACCGAACGAACCCCGATTTTCCCTGGGCTGCCTGAAGACACTCTTCGAGTGGACAACGTCACCTCGTTCTCCCGCGAGTACGCAGCAAACACCTTATACCCTCAACGCTGGCAATTCGCGTGCATCAGCTTCGCTCCGGATGCAGACTTCATGGAGACATTCTTCCAAATGGCCAACGACGCCATGCAGCAATACGTAAAATTGGCAGGCTTCAAGCTCATCCTCAACTACCAACCCGCACCAACTGTTCAGCTGGAACGTAATGGAGCAGTGGACTCCCTGGGCCCAATCCAAACTGAAGGCAATGTTGTCTTTGTACACTGGGCTGTCAGCTACGATGAGTCCGAGGCCCAGTTCGACGATGCTATCACCAAGAGCGTCCAAGACTTGTTCCACGCTGCAAATGCCAAGGCCAAAGAGTTGGGTATCTACAGGCATTTCATCCAACCTACTTATGCAGACAGCTGGCAGAGCCCCTTTGATTACAGAAGCAAGAGCACGATTGAGGAACTGGTTGCCACGAGCAAGAAGTATGATCCTCTACAGGTTTTCCAGAAGCAGGTGCCGGGTGGCTTCAAGCTGCCGCAGATTTGAGATGGAACATGAGTGGTGCGGCAGAGCTCGACAGTATAGTGATGATGTCTCACAACATCTTCTACAAGGAGCGTATGTGCCAGGATTTGTTTCTCTGTTGATTAGTTTGAACGAAAGTCATGGTTTGCGAGACATGTGTTCGCCCTGTTCCAACAAATGATCCCAGAAGCAGTCGCCGCCATTCTGTTCAGTAATCAAGATCGGGCAGGAGTCCGTCGTACTGTAGTTCTACTTTTGTCTCGCTCTTTACAAGCGCGTCTGGGGCAAGCTGACATGCTATGCCGGACATAGGCTGCGATCCATAGAATCCGAGAGCTCGTGTACCGACGATAATACCGTTCGCAAGCATTGATCGCCGAGGTCATGCATGTTTGCGCCATCACAAATGATCGTTGTACACTTCATACCGAAACACTATCTGCTAAATCATAATCATCAAAACACGAACTCTGAACAATCCACCAAATTCTTCTGCCCAAACATTCTCTTACTACCAACTTCACTCCTCCAAATGTTCCTCTTCGCTCTTGTTCTCATCGCGGCCTCAAATTCGGCGATTGCATTCACCGGTGGCTTCGTGCCATGCTCAACGAGCACTTTAGCCAAGGCGTCGGCATCGACTATTGCGGTGTTCGCTCCGACTCCACCACAAGGGCTCATTGGATGAATGCTATCGCCAAGAACGGTAACATTGGAGTGGGACTCCCATGAGGGAATATCGGGGATTGTGGATGCAACGCGAATGAGCGATGCTTGCTTTGTGTCTTGGAGCTCGAACAGCGCGCGGAGGCTTGGATGCCATTCCTCGGTGACTGCGAGACTGAGCTTGGCAGCCTGTTCTGCCGCTTGGTCCAGTGAGACGAAGTTCTTCATGGAAGTCACCTCTTGCGATCCGAAGCGTTCCTTGGGTCCGATGAGTGCCCAGTAGACGTAGTCTGCAGGCAGTTCTGGGTAGCGGGCACGCGAGGCTTCGCTGAATCGGATGGGTTCCAGTAGTAAGGTGACTGGGCTGTCGCCGATGAGACAAGATTGTAGCATAGGTGCGATGTCGCTGACCACAGTCATGAACCTCAAGCCTTTCTCGGGGAACCGCGCGAGGAATTCCGGTGTCATTACAGTCTTGCCGTAGATGCAGGCAGCACCAGTATCCACAATACGATGGTCTGGTACACATGTCTTGCGAACGACAGAGTGTAAGCCATCAGTGCCGGCCAGGAAACTTCCGGTGACGTGAGTGCCGTCCTTGAATTCAGCGGTAACCGTAGATGCAGAGTCATCAGTCTTGTAGTACGCGATTTCCTTCCCGAACGAGATCTTGTCCTCAATGCCAGTCATGAGCTGAGTTCTGAATGCTTTGCGGTCAACAGTGAATGTCGCATACAGTCCCTTCTTGCCAGACAGGCCGCCACCAGTGCGGCTGTGGATGATGTTGCCATTGAAGGGATTGAAGTCTGTCTCGCCTACGGCGGTGACGGCATTTGAGAGTTCGAAAGCCTCATAAACATCGTCAGGCAGGATGTTCTTGAGAGACTGTGCGGCGTCTGCTTCGAATTTGAGTCGGTATCCTTGTGGCCGAGCATCGATATGGGAGTCCCTTTCGAAGACGCGAAAGTCAATTCCGGCCTTCTTCAAAGCCTGTGCAAGACAGAGCCCAGCAATACCCGCGCCTGCAATGAGGACTGGTCTCGAATCAGCAGAGCCAGTGCTTGCGGAGACTGCCGTCACCAACTCTGGCGTGAGTGTATTCGTTCCGGAGAGGGCAGTCTGGCCGGCTGAGCGGACTGTGAGCAGACCCATCACACTGTTGAGCGGCTGGTTCACGCGAGAAATCTCGAGACCGGCAGATTGCATCAATGAGCTCCAGTCCTCCAATTCACGCTCCTTGGCATTGAAGACTTCCATCATTGTTAGATCCCGAATGCGTAGTTGTTGCTCTTGCAAAACGCTAGTTGTGCCGGGCTGGGGAAGAATGGTGTCCATGATGACTATTTGCGCCCCAGGTTTCAGTGCTGCGCGAATCTGAGAGAGGATGACCTTGGCTTCGTTGTCGGGCCAGTCGTGACAGATCATGCGAAGAAAGTAAACATCGGCATCCTTCACTGTTTGAGGACCAAAGAAGTCGTGTTCCTGAAAGGTGATGCGAGATTTAACAGAAGCTTCAATCTTGTCATTTTGGGCCATTTCTTTCCTGGCACCAGCGACCGTCTCTGGCAGATCTTGAATGACGAAGGTAAGGTGAGTGTGCTCCTTGGCAATGGCAATGCTACCATGCCCAAGAGAGCCACCGACATCCACGACTTTTGCGCCCCGCGGAAGGGAAGCCCAGTCGAAGCCGGTGACTGCGTGCTGAAGGCCCCAAGTTGCGTTCGAAGTCACATTACGCATATAAGCTGCAAAGGCGTCCTTCATTGCGGGCGTCTGGCGGAGATGGTCAAAGAATGGGACTTTCACATCCATTCCCAGATTGAACGCGGTCTGATCTTTGGCGACAGTCTCGCCCCACGATCGCGTGGCGTCGCTAAGCTTGTATGCAGCTGGCACAGAGTAGTTGACCTGTGAGACCGAGGTCAGCATGATCTGATTTCTTTGACTCCTTCTTCAAGGGAGAAGGGAGGTCACTCACCATCCATCTAGCCCAACCTAAATAGCTTTCATCGCGAGCGAACAAGGCGGAAATGCGACTGTGGCGGACTTGGTTGGCCTCGGGCTCTTCCAGGAATCCATTGCATATGGCCATGCGACAGATGCTTCTCAATTGCATAGGCGGCACGCTGGCTTTTCTCGCAAGATCTGTGTAGCTGATCGTTCCGCTATGTGGAAGGTGGTCCAATATGTTGAGTTCCACCAGCCAGCGAAAACAGGTTAAATGTTGATACTGATACAGCTTAGATCAAGATACCTTGGCGCGACTAATCGAACTTACGCCGTTTTGTAGATGCTCCAGATACTCTTGAGGTCGGATCGACAACCGCAAGATTCTTGTCGCTGCCTCTGCCAGCTGCGCACGAGCGGCTTGAGTTTGAGCATCGCAGTTGTCTAAAGGATCCTTCGGCAACGACGCGTTGAGGTCTTGAACATCCTTGCGACTCTTGAGAGATTTGAGCAGCTCCTGGGCGTTGGCCGATACGGCCTCCAAGGACGCCTCAAGATCGCGTTGGAACTGCATCATGTGTGACAAATGTGTGTGATTACAGTAGATGTTAGCATTGAGACCAGGACGTTTCGATCATAAGGACCGGCGACGGAGCTCAAGTAGCAGACATTCGTAGCAGGGGGACAACTTGGCTGTGCACAGTCGCCGCAAATCAAATTGAGCGTGCTGTTTCCCTATGTTGTGTTTCCCGGGCCGCTTGTACGCAAAGTCCCCGTCCTCTGGTGCTATGTCACGTGACCGAGCATAGGACATGTGCTGTTCCATGCTCGCGCGCTTCCATGTGGCGAACGTGTTGATGATTGCCTGTCGCACGTGGAGACTGGGCATGGCCTGTCTCGAGGTCTCAATCATCGTGTGCAGGCTAAGTCGCCGGGCCTCTTGCGCTAGGAGCTGTCTCGCATACTGACACTTTTGGTATCATGGCCGGTCGTATCGACGATCACCAGCTTCAATGGTGACAAAGCAATCGCTGGCACTCTGTATGCATCTGGCGGCTAGGAAAGGGAAACGCTGTAACAGAGTCATCGAGCGGGAGAGAGCACTCACTCACAGAACCTGAGCTTGAAGTCATGAGGGCATCGAATCCGCTCCTTTGAGAATCTCTGTCGACTCAGTGTACGAGGAACAAACGCCGAATGTGTCGAACGGCTACTTTCTTAGGCTTAAAACGGCGCGCGTAAGCTATGCATGCCATAGCGACCGGCGATTGACTCGACCTACGGTTAGCATGGGGATATAGATGCGCATACACTGTCACGAGCTCGTGCCCAGCTGTACCTCTGCCATCTCATCTGCACTTCCGTTCTTCAACATACCTCTCTTGATCGCTTCAACACATTGTCACTCTTTTTGACATCCCGCACCATGGAAGATGGAGCGCAGATGCGAGTGGTGGCATTCGGGGATCAGACATATGACTGCAGTGAGGCAGTCTCACAGCTCTTAAGGGTCCGCGACGATGCCATAGTCGTCGACTTCCTCGAACGGGCAACAGCCGTTTTGAAGGCAGAGTTGGCCAGGCTAAGCAGCGAGCAACAAGAAGAGACGCCACGATTCGCCACGCTCGCTGAACTTGTGCCACGCTACCGAGCTGGCACTTTAAATCCAGCAGTGTCGCAGGCATTGACATGCATCACCCAGCTGGGGCTTTTCATCCGGTATGGCAGCACAGTTCGTAATTCTGCTGAGCACAGCTAATGCGCGCATAGACAACACAGCAGCGGACAGGAAGCCTACCCCACAGCAAACGATAGTTGCATTACTGGCGTCTGCACCGGAGCGCTGACCGCCGTCGCTGTCGGCTCTGCTTCGAGTGTGACCGCTTTGGTGCCGCTCGCATTGCACACTGTTGCCGTCGCCGTGCGATTGGGTGCTCGAGCCTGGGAGATTGGCAGCTGCCTTGCCGATGCCAGGAGAGGTGCGAATGGCCGGTATGCTTCTTGGACATCGGCGGTGGGCGGTATCAGTCCCCAAGACCTTCAGGATCGAATTTCAGCATACATGACCGAGCAGGTGAGTGACGTTTCGTTTCCGCTGTGTCGATGGTGTGTCATTGACAAAGACAGGCTCTTGCATCCGTGTCCGTTCCATATCTCTCGGCAGCGGTCGGCCCGGGCCAATCAAGCGTGTCGGCTGCTCCCGTCATCCTCGACGCGTTCCTCAGCACACTTCTCCGACCGCTGACAACAACGCGACTTCCCATTACCGCTCCGTATCACGCACCTCACCTCTTCACTGCGAAAGATGTGCAGCATGTCACGGACTGTCTGCCTCCCAGCGACGCATGGCCGACAGTGCGCATCCCCATCATCAGCTTCTCCCGCGATGAGGCGGTGTCGCGTGGTGCAAGCTTCCCGGCCGCCATGAGTGAGGCCGTGCGAGACTGCTTGATCCGCCCCATTGCCCTCGACCGCATGGCAGTGAGCATTGCCAATCATGCTCGAGATCTCGGCAAAGACTCTGTGCTTCCGTCACCCATCGCTCTGTCGTTCAGCGACAAGCTGGGTCCACAAGTGAACAGCCATCTGCCAGGCACGAAAGCACCGACGCCTGAGCTGACGTCCACATCGTCTATCCCATCTGCTATAGGAGCGGAACAGCAGCCGATGGCAAAATCCCCCATTGCTATCCTTGCTGCCTCTGGTCGTTTCCCACAATCTTCATCCATGGACCAGTTCTGGGATGTACTTATTAACGGCGTCGACACGCACGAACTTGTACCTCCAACCCGTTGGAATGCAGCTACTCATGTCTCCGAAGATCCTAAAGCAAAGAATGTGTCTGGCACAGGTTTCGGTTGCTGGCTCCACGAAGCCGGTGAATTTGATGCCGCCTATTTTAACATGAGTACGAGGGTCATCACATACGAATGGCTCAAGCTGACGATAATCCAGGTCCGCGTGAAGCGCCGCAGGTTGATCCAGCACAGCGTCTTGCGCTCTTGACTGCCACCGAAGTCCTCGAGCAGGCCGGCATTGTCCCGAACCGAACGTCGTCAACTCAGAAAAACCGAGTTGGTGTATGGTACGGCGCAACCAGCAATGATGTGAGTTCGATTTCTCCTGTGAGTGCTTTTTGAGCCAACGCTAAACTATCACCATAGTGGATGGAGACCAACAGCGCTCAAAACGTTGATACGTACTTCATTCCCGGTTAGTACTCTGCGACACTTCCGCAAGCATTTTACTGATTGCTTCAGGTGGCAATCGCGCATTCATCCCAGGAAGAGTGAACTACTTCCACAAGTTTAGTGGCCCATCTTACACGATCGATACAGCCTGCAGCTCCAGTTTGGCAGCATTGCACATGGCGTGCAACGCACTTTGGCGAGGCGAAGTCGATACAGCCATCGTAGGTGGGACCAACGTCCTCACGAATCCAGACATGACGGCGGGACTCGACGCGGGTCACTTCTTGTCAAGGTCTGGAAATTGTAAGACGTTCGACGACGAAGCCGATGGCTATTGCAGAGGTGAGGCAGTGGTGACCCTCATTCTCAAACGGCTGCCAGACGCGCAAGCGGACAAAGATCCAATTCAGGCTTCAATTCTGGGAATTGCCACTAATCACTCAGCCGAGGCCGCCTCTATCACTAGGCCTCATGCCGGAGCGCAGCAAGACTTGTTCCAACAAGTTCTCACGGAGACAGGTCTTACCGCGAACGACATTAGTGTGTGCGAGATGCATGGTACTGGCACCCAGGCTGGAGACAGTGGTGAAACAACGTCCGTCGTGGAGACCCTAGCGCCTTTGAACCGATCCGGCTCTGCTGTGCGAACAACACCTCTCTACATTGGCGCAGTCAAGTCCAATGTGGGTCATGCTGAGTCCGCAGCTGGGGTCAGCAGTCTGGCCAAGATCTTGCTTATGCTCAAGCATTCCAAGATCCCTCCTCATGTGGGCATCAAAACGAAGCTGAATCACCGGCTACCAGACCTAGCTGCACGAAATACACACATAGCGCGGACTGAGGTACCTTGGCCTCGGCCAAAGAATGGCAAGCGTCGTGTTCTGCTCAATAACTTCTCGGCCGCTGGAGGTAACACGTGCCTTGTGCTTGAGGATGCGCCCGAGCCCGAGGACTCTCAAGAAGTCGACCCTAGAGAACATCACATCGTTGCACTCTCTGCTAAAACACCTGATTCAATGGTGAACAACCTCACGAACATGATAACCTGGATCGACAAGCACTCTGGAGACAGCATCGCCACCTTGCCTCAACTGTCTTACACGACAACTGCACGAAGAGTGCACCATAGACACAGAGCCGTAGCTACCGGCACTGATCTGCTGCAAATCCGTTCGTCGCTTCAAGAACAGCTTGACCGCCGGGTGTCCGGCGAGAGAAGTATCCCTCACCCGCCCAATGGACCTAGCTTTGTCCTTGCTTTCACTGGCCAAGGCTCGGCGTTCGAAGGTATGGGTGTAGATCTCTACAAACGTTTCGCCTCATTTCGGTCAGACATTGCCCGCTATGATCAGATCTGCGAGGGTATGAGCCTGCCCTCGATCAAAGCTATGTTCGAGGACGAGAAAGTGTTCTCCACAGCTTCACCAACTTTGCAGCAGCTCACGCATGTCTGTTTTCAGATGGCCCTGTACAGACTATGGAAGTCCCTCGGCGTACAAGCGAAGGCGGTAGTTGGCCACAGTTTGGGCGAGTATGCTGCACTCTACGCCGCTGGAGTGCTATCGCAATCCGATACGCTCTACCTGGTGGGGCGGCGTGCACAGCTGATGGAGAAACATCTTTCGCAAGGCACACATGCAATGCTGGCCGTCCGTGCGAAAGAAGAAGCCATTGTCGCAGCGATTGACGGGCCTCCAGGAGAGGCATACGAGTTCTCTTGCCGCAATGGCGAACAGCGAAACGTTCTCGGAGGCACCGTTGCTCAAATCCAGGCGGCGAAAGCCGCGCTTGAGGCTAAGAAGATTCGATGCCAGTACTTGGACACCCCGATGGCATTCCACACTGGCCAAGTTGATCCGATTCTGCCCGAGCTCTTGCAGGTCGCTGCAGCATGCTCCATCCAGGATCCCCAAATTCCTGTCATCTCCCCAGCATATGGCAAAGTGATCAGGTCTGCCAAGGACTTCCAACCAGAGTACTTCACCCATCACTGCCGCAGTTCTGTCAACATGGTCGATGCTCTCCAAAGTGCAGTCGAAGAAGGCTTACTTGACAAGAACATTATTGGCCTCGAGATTGGCCCTGGCCCGGTCGTCACGCAGTTCGTCAAGGAAGCTGTGGGCACAACCATGCAGACCTTTGCGTCCATCAATAAAGACAAAGACACATGGCAGCTCATAACGCAAGCGCTAGCTAAGTTCTATCTTGCAGGTGCCAGTATCGAGTGGTCGCGCTATCACGAAGACTTCCCTGGAGCTCAGAAAGTCCTTGAGCTCCCGGCTTATGGCTGGACCTTGAAAAACTACTGGCTGCAATATGTCAACGACTGGTCTCTGAGGAAGGGCGATCCAGCCGTGGTTGTTGCCGCGTCAAATTTGGAACTCTCTTCGTCGATACACAAGGTCATAACAAACACAATCACCGCCAACAGCGACGGCGAGCTTGTCGTGGACGCAGACCTCAGTCGAGAGGACCTGCATCCCATGGTTCAGGGGCATCAGGTCTACGGTGTTCCACTGTGCACACCTTCCGTGTACGCGGACATCGCTCTGACACTCGGCGAGTATATTCGACAGGTCATCAAGCCAGGCGAGGTTGCACAGACATCCGTTGAAGTAGCAGAGATGAACATTCAAAGCGCACTGGTGGCTAACAACACGGGCAGAGTGCAACTCCTTCGCACGTATGCCAAGTTTGACCCCAAGGCCCAGGTAGCGTCATGCACGTTCTCTAGTATCAAGGTCAGTCGTGAGGGTAATCAGCTCATTATGGATTTCATGCTAATTTTGACTAGGAGGACGGCAGTAGCGTAGTCGAGCAGCATGCTAATTGCAAGATCCGGTTCGGCAGTCTCGAGAAGGAGAAGACCGCGCTCGAGAGTGCTGCACTAGCTGCCCAAGCCAGAATGGCCGCTCTGAAAACACAAGTTGGCCAGGATGACAACACATACCGCTTCAGCAAAGGCATGATTTACAAGATGATCGGCCAATTAGCTGACTTCGACGAGAAGTACCGCGGGCTCTGCGCGATCACACTCGACAACGACGCCATGGAAGCCTCGGGCAAAGTATCATTCAAGGGCATTCCAAACGAGGGCAAATTCCACTCTAGCCCGGCTTATCTCGACGCGTTGTCGCAACTTGGCGGATTCGTCATGAACGCGAACGAGGTCAGTAGCGATAGTAGACAGCACATTGAAGAGTGCGATGCTAACTCTTTCTGTTCCTTAGGGTGTGGATCTTGAGAAAGAAGTCTTTGTCAATCACGGCTGGGGTTCCATGCGCTTCTTCGCCGCTCTGGATCCAGCAATGACTTACTACACTCATGTGAAGATGACCCAAGGCAAAGACAAATTGTGGACTGGCGATGTCTTGATCTTCGACGACAAGCAAGCATTGATCGGCATTGTTGGGGGAGTGGCGTTGCAGGGCGTGCCCAAGCGACTTATGCATTACATTGTTACAGCTGCCAACAAGAAAGCTTCCGGCCCGCCGACAGAGAAGAAGGGCTCTAGCCCGCCAGTCGAAAAGAAAGCCAGCGCGCCAGTCGCGCCCACGAGGCCAGCGATCCAGCGTAAGAATGCTTCGATTCCTCCACCTGCAACCCAAGTGACTCCGCAAAACAAGACCATCAAGACGCCAAGTGTGTCGGCACTGATAGCCCCGGCCCTCGAGATTGTTAGCGAGGAGATCGGGATGCCAATCGACGAGCTCAAGGATGATATCGACTTCACCGATGCTGGTCTTGACAGTCTGCTCTCCTTGGTAATTAGCAGTCGCATGCGGGACCAGCTGGGCATCGAATTCGAGTCCGCGCAGTTCATGGAGATTGGATCTATCGGTGGACTCAAGGAGTTCTTGACCAGGCTCAGTCCCCCAGTAGCAGTCGCCGTTGCCACTGCCGTGGAAATTGTCAAGGAGGAAGCGCTCACTTCATTGGAAGAGCTTACTGATCCATCCCCTAACGAGATCGGCACTGTCTGGCGCGATGCCCTCAAGATCCTGTCTGAAGAGAGTGGGCTCACTGATGAGGAATTGACTGATGACACAAGTTTCGCCGACGTGGGCGTTGATAGCCTCATGAGTCTTGTGATCACCAGTCGCCTACGGGATGAATTGGACATCGACTTCCCCGACCGAGCATTATTCGAAGAATGCCAGACTATATTTGACCTTCGCAAGAGGTTCTCTGGGTCAACGGAAAGCTTCGACTCGACGACGACCAAGCCCAGCGCTGGTGATGCGACGCCACCTCTGACCGATTCCAGCGCGTCATCTCCGCCCTCCTCCGAGTTCGATGGCGAGACGCCGATGACTGATCTGGACGAGGTGTTCGATTCTCCCCCAGCGCAGAAGAGGATACCATCCCCGCCCAAAGGACGAATCCCGCCTGCATGGTCGATGTATTTGCAAGGCTCACAGAAGCGGTCGAAGGAGATTCTTTTCTTGTTTCCAGACGGCGCTGGCGCCGCAACTTCATACTTGTCTTTACCTCGTTTGGGTGAAGACATTGGCGTAGTCGCCTTCAATTCGCCTTTCATGAAGTAAGTTGTCTCTACAGAGGTTAAAGTGACAGGAACTAACACATCACTCCTGTAGGACACCGCACAAGTTTGTTGATCATACCTTACCGGACGTCATCGCGTCCTATGTAGAAGGCATTCGAGGCCGTCAAGCGCAAGGCCCGTATCATCTGGGCGGCTGGTCTGCTGGTGGTATTCTGGCCTATGCCGTTGCCCAAGAACTCATCGCAGCTGGCGAGGAGGTTTCGACACTCCTCCTCATCGACTCGCCTTCGCCAACCAAAGGCCTAGATCGCCTTCCAACACGATTCTTCGATCACTGCACGAACGTCGGACTCTTTGGAACGGAGCTCTCCAGAGGCAGTGGGGGTCCCAACAAGACACCCGAATGGCTGATGCCTCACTTCAGAGCTAGTATTGAGCTGCTACATGACTACCACGCTCCTCCTATGAAGCTTGGCAACAAAACGAAAGTCATGGTGATATGGGCAGGTGAATGTGCCTTTGATGGCGTTCGCTATGCTCACATACCGCCCTCTGCAGGCGACACCGACGAAGACACCGAGGGTATGAAGTTCTTGACGGAGAAGCGGAAAGATTTTGGAGCCACAGAATGGGCAAGTTTGTTCCCTGGCACTGATGTTGATGCGAGGGTTGTTGAGAGCGAGCACCATTTCAGCATGATGCGTGATTCTGGTGCACAGATGCTTGTTGAGCATATGCGAGACGGATTGGGGATTGTCTCGTCGTGATAGCGTTAGATTCAGGCGTTGGAGTTCAATTGTAATGAAATTTTGAATGTTCCTTTGAATATAACTCCGTCTCCAACCACCGGCACTTGGCTTGGCATTCACATGTTATTTCTCGAACCTCCTTTGCGTATTCTCCTCATCAACACACGCTTGATCCATCAGCTTATGGAGTTTCCAGCCATTCCTTCCGAACACCATGCTTGTTCTGCATGATAGCGTTTCCCAGAAGCATAATGAACTCTGTTCGACATTGTTGAGATTCCAAGGCAGTGGCGATGGTCGGTCTCGGCAACAGCGTTCACCGAGCTGGGATCGGTGAACGTCGCTCTTACACCTCGTGCTCTCCCTTCGCCGCGTCCACGAAGGAGCACATCTTCTCGGTGATTGTCTTGCGGTATGCGACGAAGCACCGTAAGCGGGCACAATGGCCGACTCGGTATCACCATTAGTCCTCGCGGATGTAGCGCTGGCTCGTCAGGCCATATCATATCCAGCTCATAGCATCATCATTCGATTTCACAATTGCATTTACAGATCTCACATCAATCAAAATGGCTAACCGAATTGAAGCGGACAATCTCTTTGAGCTCACGGCAGAGCTGGTCTCAGCCTCCGCCAAATTGCACAAGTTTCTCGACCAGAAGAACCTCCCGCAGCCATCTTTTGATGCTCCAGCTCCATCGGTAGCTCTCAACACCGCCAACAAGCCTTACTACGATGCGAGAAGCGCGATTGTAGAGGCTGCTGAGCAACTCATCCGCCTGGTCCGTGGACCTCGCGATACTCTTCTCGCTCTGTCCTTCGAGCACTGTGCTACAGCATCGATGCAGGTCAGTCGGGCCAAAGAATGTCCTGCTGTATCCTCATTAACTCATCTCCACAGGTCGTTTTCAAATACAAGTTTGCGAATCACATTCCGCTACATGGCTCGACAACTTATAGCAAGATTGCCGAAGCAGTCGGAGATGGTGTGACAACAGCTCTCGTTGAGCGCACGATACAACATTGCGCTTCCTTTGGCCTATTCGAGACGATCCCTGGCGGCTATGTTACTCACAATGCTACCTCGTCACTACTGGTCACCGATCCAGATCTCGAAGCCTGGATGTATCTCTCAGCGGTGATCGCTTACCCAGCTGGCGCAGCTATCCCCAAGGCCGTGGAGCAGTATGGCGTGAGCAGTGAGGCCACCGAAGCAGGGTACGGCGTGAGCATAGGAAGAAAGATTGCACAATTCCAGCGATTCCGCGAGCCCGATGGGAAGAAGGACCACGAGATGTTCGCACGAGCCATGCGTGGTATCGCAGCTGGTGGTGCATACGACTTCCGCCACGCAGTCGACGGCGGATACCCTTGGCACCTTCTCACAGAAGGCGCAGGACACCTGGTAGTGGATGTCGGCGGAGGTCCGGGCCACGTCGCCATGGCACTCGCGGAAAAGTACCCAAGCTTGCGATTCCAAGTCCAAGATCTACCCGAGACTGTCCAAGTGGGAGCGAAGAACTGCCCTGAACACCTTCGTAAACACGTAACCTTCGTGGCACATGATTTTATGACCCCTCAACCTGCTCATGAAGTGCAAGACGGCGAAGGAATCGTATACTTTGCTCGATTTATCCTGCACGACTGGAGTGACAAGTATGCCACGAAGATCGTGCAGGCGCTTGCCACTGGCTTGAGGCCACAAGACCGCATCATCTTGAACGAAGTGGTCGTTCCTGAAGCCGGGCAAGTTGGCAGAGAGACGGAACGAAGAATGCACGATCGTGATCTGCTGATGTTGATGAACCTCAATGGACGTGAGCGGACACAGAGTGCATTCGAGGCGATCTTCGCTTCAGTGACTCCCAAGCTGCGGCTGCAGAGGGTCATTCACCCAGAGCAAGGCGAATTGTCGCTCATCGAGGTGACTCTTGATGGCGTTGAGCTTCCTGCCCAGGCGAATGGTGTCAATGGCCATGCGAATGGGACTAATGGCGTGAATGGTCATTAAAATGTTGTGCAAATACTTAGCGTTTGTGTAGCTATTTAACGTGTCTTCTCCAATTGATCGGAAGCTTCTCATATTGCTTTTGGTGTTCCAAGGCTACCTGTGGTCATCGGCAGATAGTGGACAGTACATCAAATTTCCGGAAACATGCACACTTGTGATCATCTCTCGCCAATATCTTGATACTTCGCCTGCCTTTCTTCTCGAGATAGATCGGCCTAGCTACGCTACACGAGGCGAAGATACGAGGGACGAAAGAGCACGCTAATGGCCCAGGCAGAAGAGTGCTCAAGATCGAAACTTGCTTTCTTTTTGCTCTCCTGCGGTAGGTCGGGTAAGTCGAGGCCAGCAATTGACAAGCTGACTGCAGATTATATCCATCGTTCATTTGATAATATCTAGCACATAGCGACTATAGACTTGCGATAGATATACATCATGTACAGCAGGCGAAGGCCCATGTAAGTGAGTCGAAGCCGCTACTGCTTGACTCGTGTATTTACAAAGGTGGCTGCCACTTGCTCTTCGCTCTGATTTTGGCACCGAAGTAGTAGAACAGTATCGGGATCGGGATCATGGCAACTGCAAGCAATGCAAGAATGGTCGTTCCCCATTTTACTCCGATTGCAGCATACATCGAAGTCCTAGCGAGACGGTCAGTACACTGTTGTGACAAAAAAAATTAATGCTACACTTACGCCAAGATCGGAAATCCTGCAGCGAACAGGGATCTCAAGAAGGTGTTAGCGGCTATGGCCGAGTTCGCATAAATTTTGTAAGAGTCGATGATGTAGTTCATGCCCTGCATATTGATCAAGTGGATACCGAAGCCAGTAGGAATACCCGACAAGATTTGAGGCCAAGGATTCATGGTAGCGGAGCTTGTCCAAGCGAAGAGGAACATTCCAGCTGGGAGCGAGACAGCGCCAACCATCATGAGCAAAAGTCTTGTCTCCTGAGGTCGTCCCTCTTTGGCGTTCGGTGCCCATCTGGAGTTGGTCGTAAACGAAAGTAGTGCTCCTGCGATAATGACGCCCACGAGGATGGAGATGAGTGGAAGACTGGCAGTCGTCTGGTCCCAGCCGCGCTCCTGAATGAACGATGTTGGGTATGCCAGAAAGAAGTTGTACAACAGACCTGCACAGAGTTAGCACTTGTTTCTATGGCTCAGCTGCGATGATGTCAAACTTACCGAAAGACACACTGACATAGAGTGTCATCATTAAAAGAATGGGTTCAAGGGCCAGCATGCGAGCAGGCCGAAGCAAGTAACGCTCCGCAAAATCGCCAATACTGCTCTGCGCTTCTTCAGATTTGGAACGGTAAGCCCAGTTGCGTGTCATATGTCGCATGCGTTCAGCACGACGCGCCAAAAGCAATGGCGTGTACGTTTCGGGGAGGAATGGAAAGGTAAAGACAGCAATGAAGAACGAGGCGATCGCAACGACATTCGCGATCCACCGCCAACCGAGCACGCTCTGGACGAGGACTGATCCAATCAGCGGTCCGAGGATTGGCCCGATAGTCAGAAACGCGCCAACTGTAGGCATAGCGAAACCTCGTTCTCTGGGAGACCAGATATCTGCCAAGATGCCTGACAGGATTGACGAAGGCGCTGCGCCGAAGAATCCTCCCAGAAAGCGCAGGATACATATGGAGGTCAGACTTCTTGCGTCGGCGATGGGCAGTTGCAGGACCGCAAAGGCCAGGTAGCCTGCCAGAAGAGGTCGAGTCCGGCCAAAAGCCTCGCTGAAGGGTCTGGTGCTTGTCAGTCATATGCCTCTCGAGATAGAATATCTTACTCACCCCCAGAAGATGGGCCCGGTAGCGAATCCTACCATGAAGAGGGAAGTGCAACCGAGCACGACCGTCTCCGCGGGCAAGGCAAACTCTTCTGCGAGAACGTGCGTTGCAGCCCCGAAGACCGACGAAGAAAACGTCGTCGAGAGAGCATACAATGCCAAAGACATTGTGATCACCCACTTGCGCCAGTAAGGTAGATTCTGAGGATTTCCCTTGTCATCCTCGCCAACCCAGTCCACCAGGAAAGCATCACTCTTGATTGCGTCGAGTACCTGCTCTTCGAGATCCATAGCGTCAGTCGTCGATTGCGGTGGTGATGCTGAACCAGACGAGAAAGTCACATAGGGCTGCTTCAGTCCGTCGAGGTCATCGTCAGTGATAGGGAGAGCCATTGCGAGTGTACAGATTTCAAGAGACAGAATGAGACAAGACTTCAATAGTCAAAAGCAGCTCTCGGCCTCAGATGGTAAGCCCGCTAATGTCTAAACACTTACCGTAAGCGAATGATTCCATAGGCACATGAAAGCCGGCTCATGTCCGAGCAATGCAATCGTCGAGGCTACGATTACCCCGGAGGCTCGGTGAAGAGTCACCGTTCGCCGTAGCGTTGATTCGCATACTGTTGTCGAAGAAATCTCATAGTCAGCACTGCGGAGGCGGAGTTATGTCTGCATTCTGGCGGTGCTGATGGCTTGCATCGAGCCACTCTTGCAAAGCCGAGATGATTGTGAAGGAAGCTTGAAGTTGAAGGGGCAGGAGAGCGTTTGATCTGGAGCGACGAGATGCTCTTGGCATCGGCCCGAAAGGTCCCGAGCACATCCCGGGATTCGACTTCAGCTTCGCCAACGCTGCTTCTTGCGCTTTGAGCAGGCGACAGAAGAGATCGGAAGCAATATTAACAGGAAATGTGAGAGTTAAATAGGCACATCTGCTTCTTCCTACGCCGTCGTCGAGATCTCCACCCCTTCATCCTTCTCCGGCAACTCCAAGTACTGCTTGACCACATCAAGGACTTGTGCCTCATAGGGAATGTGCTTGAAGCCAAAGGTCTCCTCAGTTTTCCGCACGTCGAATCTGACGCCTTTATTGACAGTCGGCATGTGACCGTCATTGGGCAACACGCCCTGCGCAACCGCTTCAGGAAACTCCCTCTGCACGAACTTCTTCACATCATCCCATTCCGATCCATCCTCCGGACTGCACGAAATAAGGAAACTCTGATTGCCCGTGACCTTGGGATCCAGCGCCAATACATGACAGCGAGCGACATCATCGTTGTGACATGTCAGGATTGGCTTGCCGATAGGATTCTTGTGGCCGAGTACAATCTGCATCGAATGCCAATTCGACGAGAATTTCCGCAGATCCTCGCGTGTCGTCGCTAGGTCATCCCGACCAGTCACGAAGGACGGGTGCATGTGAACAAGATCGAACGCCGGTTTCTCGTTCTTGATCCAAGCTTCCGCGCTGTTGATGCTTGCGATCTTCCCAGCTTGGTATGCCAGCATTTTGTGCGCATAAGGAGGCTCCATTTCCGGAATGCGCGATTCTGCATTCAGAGGCACCTCAGATGGCTCAGCAAAAAGAGCTTTCGGCGAGAAAAGTCCAACCATGCTAGATGTGATGACGACTCGTCGCACAGTTCCGCTTCGTTTGGCTGCCTCCAGGACCCCAATACTACCTTTCACAGCAACACGTTTGAAGTCGTGTTCCCAGTCGTCTGGGTTGTCCGAGCTGACTATCGGGCTGGCCACGTGGATAATGTAAGACGTGTTCTCAGCTGCTTGATCGAAAGCTCCATCTGTCACGAAATCCGCCACAGTGGTAGTTTCGAACCTGTCCTTGTAGTCCGAGCCTTTCATCACAGCAGTCAGCCGCGACTCAAGCCATTGTCCCTTGCCAGCACTGCGGATCACAGCTCGCACGCTGTATCCTTGACGGAGCAGCTCAATCAAGATACGAAAGCCAATGAAGCCGGTAGCACCAGTCAATAGAACGAGAGAGTCGGCCATGATTGCGGCACGTTGTGCAGAGCGGTGTTCGAAAGAGTTGCAAGAGCGGGTTATCGAACAGCGAAGACTTCGTGAAACTGCACATAGTCGGATCAGGGCCTGGGTTGACGCAGTGACCGGCAATCAAGTCATCGGGATATGAGTGGTGTTGCCGCGTACTGCCTGGGAATGGCGAATTCTGATGGACTACACCCACATGCTCATGGTGCTTCCTCCGCCTACCAGCAATAAGTCACAACCAACGAATCAAAGTGCTCACTGCTTGCCGCTGAGCCGCATGTTTCGTGCAATATGCGGCAAGGCATCTGCGTTTGCCGAGTCGGACATCGAAGCCAGATAGCCAAGACCCGCAAGCCTGCGGAGGACCCTTGAGGCTTTTTGTGCTTCATTGAGTCTAGCTTCTTTGAGGATATAGTAGTCTGAGACTAGCTTGCGGACTGTCTCATACTCCATTGCTGGCGACTTCGCTGCAGAGAGGTAGCTCGTGACTATGTGTGGTCAGCTGTCTAGTCACTCATGAGGGAAGTCAGCCTCAAGCACAAGGAAAGCATTGAGCAGACAGAGGACGGAAACCCGGCTGCAGGTAAGCCGTCGATAGTCGCCTGTTTGGAAAGATCCGCAGTCCGAATGGCGTTGTGGGATTGCGATGTCGAGCTGTTTGAAGCCTCATATGGTGGCGTTTAGCTTAGCTAACAGCCTTTCCTCCACGCCATCAAGTATGTATTTGTGCTCGATAACTTCTAGGTTCTCAATTTCAGCCTTGAACAGCTTGTCTGGGTCTTCTTGTCCACCCATGGGGTTCTGGCCCATTTGTGACTGGGCCATCTGTTGAGCGATTTGTGAGGCAGCTGTGATTTGATCAGCGACGGGTCCCACCAATGCAGCTTCAAAATGCACCTACCATTGTTGCTGCCCAGTATAAAGTTGTATACTGGCTGCAATCCGAATAGAGTCAGGAAGTACCAACTCAGACTGCTCACCCATCTGACATCTAGATCTCTGGTACCGACACCGGCTTGCAACATCTGCTTGAATTGCGGAGTAAGTGGGAAGGGCAATTTCACTGTCGCGTTGTCAGCCACCGCTCACATCTTTCTGCACCCTGCGGACAATGCATCTTGAGGAAGTTTTGTACTCACTGATAACATAGCCGCTAAAGAAGGCGTTGATCCAGCCCATGATCAAGGATTGTGGAACCATCATGGCTACATTACCCTTCATGGCGCCCATCATGCCGTCCATAGCTCCCGGATCTGTCAACGGATTGGCCGGAGGTTTCCCTCTGTTCTCAGGATCTGCCAAAAATCTGCCGTCCTTGACCGCTTCATGATAGAACTCCTTGCGCTTCTCAAATGCTGCACGGGAGATCTGCGTATTATTGACTCGAAGGTTCTGCATGCGGAGCAGAGAGCGCTGTTGTCGTGTCTTGGCGAGGGGCTGTGGTTTGGGGCTGGATTGTAGCAAGGTCGATAGGTAGTGGCGCAGGATACCAGTAAGGACCATGACTATGGTGATTGGCAGCAAGATCCAGTAGCTACCGGCGGTGGTCAGTCGCGGACTCGCGGGGCAGGAACTCAGGTGCGAGGAGAACATACAACAGAGCAGGATCACGGTGGATCTGCTGCTCAACAATGCCCGTCATGGTTGCAGATGTCTCGCGTGAGCAGTGAACGTTGATGGTGCAGTTGGACAACGACGTGCAGTCCATCGCTCTCTTCACATGCCCACGACTACGCCAAGCTTTTGAGCCGCATCCACTAGCGCAACCTAGCTTGGGGACACCTGGAGCTTTACTCTTTCTTACAAGTTACCGAACGTGAAGTCGATCTCGCTCTCAGGCTCACCATTCTGACATCGAATTCCTCTGAATCCACAATGGCCGAATCCCGCATATCGCCGTACAATTTGGCTGATCTGAAGAACACGACCGACGATGCTCTGGGAAACTATTTGCGATCACTGGGCTTCGTCCAGGATAACTCGAAGCTGGACGTTCGACTTGCATTGGGCTATGTCTCGGTAGTGATTGCTGGTGCAACATTTGTGGCAGACTACAAACTCGGGTGGGAAGCCACCAAGATCTGGACTGCCGTGGCAGTCGCAGCATACGCCCTGCTCAGTGCAGCCATGACCTATTGGATGTGGGCTGTGGAGAAAGGGCTAGTGTTCGAGGGCACGCGCTCAGGGAAGAAGGTGGGTTGACATCCTTGACTGTTCGGAACAGCTTTTGGAAAACGTGTTGGCTGATCATGCGTGCCCGATTCTAGATCTCCATCTTCTCCCGCACGAAAAAGCACGACCCGACCTACTATCTTGAGATCCACGCCTCGTCGCTATCGAATGCCAATGACACTTCTACACGGGAGATCAAAGTCCCTTTCACGACGTGGTTCACACAAGATGGCTACTTTGTCGCCAAGCCATTTCAGCAATGGCTCGCGAGCAGCGTGGAAGCTGTTGGTGATGCTGATCTGAAGAACGCGAAGCGCGACGAGAGAGACGAGTTGGCATCTCCTACAGCACAGTATGAGCTGTTGCAGGCGGCGACGAAAGCACAAACGACAACCGGAGCGGAAGCCGCGGAGAAGGGAACACAGAGGAAGAGTAAGCGAAAAGCTTGAGCAGTCGGCCGAAAAGCTATGGATAATGTATGCGATGTACAATGATACCACTCAAAAAGGCCCTTGGCCTCGCATGTTTCATTAATGGAACGTTTGTTCTCGTTCACCTGCACTCGGTCGAATGCTTACCAAGTCGTCGTCAGAAGGCATGTGTTCGGCACCATGAACTCTCTGCAGCATAGCCGTGTTTCTCATCTAAGCTAGAAAGCGCAGAAGGTCCCCTTCCTTTTCGGACAAAACTCCTTTCTGAGCAGTCCTCTCACGCAGGGCGACCATGTTTCAGACATACCTCAGCGGCACAATCTGGTACCCGATTTGGCTCGCCGGCAGTATCGCTCTGCAAAGAGATGATCCGTCTTCGGGGGACTGGTCAGAGAGGAGCATTACAGGCATTTGGCGTTCACTGGGCAACGTAATACACCTTCTGCGTGACCGGGCTTCCGAAAAACGAGCTGGTATATCGCTCAAAATCCTTAGCTAAAAATACCTGTTGGGCATTAATTCTCTTCCATCGAGTTCCGATCCTTTGCAGCTCGATGCAGATCACATTGCCTTTGCTGACCTTTTTGACAGCTTTGGCATCTCGCATGTCGACTTCGACATCACTCTTGAAGCAGCCCAGAGTTACGACCTTGTGCATATCTCCAGTCTTCGTATGATCGTAGAAGGTGTTGCCCATTTTCATGGTCGAACTTGAGTTTAGAGGACTCGCGAGATGCAGCTCTAGGCCTTTGTGCGTCCACTTCCAGGGTAGCCGATCCTCGGGGTCCAACGGGAGAGGTTTAACATTGGCAAATCCTGCAAAAGCCGATGGACTGGGAGCAAACATGCCACAGGGCTGATTCGAAGGGGAAGTCCAGGCAAAAATACTTTCATCGTCTGTAGATTTTGCAATTTCGAGCTGTAGTCTGAAGAATGCACGACTGCCTCGCTCACCGTACAGAAGAGGCACTATGACTGAAGGTAAGAACATGCCTCGTGCAGACTGATCATTGCGATCCGATAACCGGTTGCAGGTCCCCCGCCACAACCAGAGATAGTGAGCTCGAGAAGGTACTTACTGTTAACGTTGAACAGACCCAGAAGCGAGTAAGCAACGTCCTCACTGCGCGTCGTCTGGCGACCTGCAGCCCAGGCCATCCGCGCCGCCACCGAGGCAAAAGGGATCTGATCAGGACGATGTAAATACCATTCCGGAACGCCCGTGGCTCGGTGGATGACAGCTGAGAGTTGAGCTTTGGACCCAAATGCCGCCCAAGAGGCATCGAGGAATAGCACTTCTTTGGGTGCTAGCAGTTCTTGCAATGTCCAGCCGCGTCGGAACCTGCAAAAGCGTTAGCCAATGCGTCGACTCTGGTTGGCGCGACGCAGCTATGGCGACAGACTGACCATTCACTGCCCTGCAAGGCATCGTTGGTTTGCTGAGTGGGCAAACCTGGCGAGACGTCCTTCAGATATGCAAAGCAGATTCGGGCGTCCGCGTAGTATTGATACATTGAATTAATGGCCTCGGTGAGTTCAGCGCTCGATGTCTTGTCGATGCACACAGTATCGATCCAGATCCATGTGTGTGACTGCGACTTTGCTAAGCGGCAAGCTTCGAGGACCTTCTTGTGCCCGGCATGGTCCCTTTTGTTCCCAGCAATGAAGTCGACATATGAGACCTCTTCCGCAGTCCAGCGATGAGACAGAATAGAGTAGGGCGGCGTCTGCTCGTCGTAGAATGTTTCGAATGTCAACGTCCCCGTATTGAGCAGCCGCATCACTCTAGTCTACCGCTGCAAGGTCAAAGACAGGTTCAGACCGACACTGCGTGCACTTTCGATCCTCGTAACTCTGCCTCGTGCTGTGTAGCTGAGGCACTATGTCTCGAGAAGCGAGGTAGGCGTAAAACGAGGTAGGCGTAAAACGAGGTTACGGACGAGGTGTGGATGTTTCCCACTTTCCGTTTTGCTCTCCGCGAATAGCTAATGACCAGATGAACTGTAACATGGTGGCGGAGGACGCGGGATCGAGTATATATCAGCAGCAGAGATGCGGCTGAAGACGATCGTTTTGGGCCTCGCAGTTGTGGCAGTACCCACTAGTGGCAGCGCAGAAAGCAGATGCAGATGCAGGTCGCTGCTGATCACCGTCGCGCCAAGACATTCGGCTGACACGCGAGACGAGCTGTCGCGTTTCCCTGAGACCGCGAGACCTGTGCACATTCACCTTCTACTACAGCTTCCTTCCGTCTCGCCGCCATAAAAGATGCCCATCGCCGCACACTTCCTCCGCCACCACCGCCGCTCCCGCTCGTAACTGTGCTAGCTCGAGCATGCGCCGGCGACAACGATGCGCTTCTCCAAACCCAACTGGCTCGTCCACGGCGGCGAGAAGAAGGACCACGAAGTCTACAGCTGCCACGTCTCGCCCGATGGAACGCGACTGGCCACCGCCGCCGGCGATGGCCACGTGCGCATCTGGTCGACCGATGCCATCTTGAATGCCTCGAACCCAGCCTACACCAAGCCCAAGCAGCTCGCGGCCCTCTCAAATCACTCCGGCACCGTGCATTCGGTGCGCTTCAGCGGCAACGGCAAGTTTGTGGCCTCGGGTGCCGACGACAAGATAGTATGTGTTTACACGCTGGATCCGGGTCCGCCGTCGCATTCGACTTTCGGCACCAACGAGACGCCGCCCGTCGAGAACTGGCGCATCTGGCGCCGGCTTATGGGACATGACAACGATGTGCAAGATTTAGGTTGGAGTTGTGACAGCTCAATCCTCGTGTCCGTCGGGCTGGACAGCAAAGTGGTCGTCTGGTCAGGAACCACCTTCGAAAAACTCAAGACGCTGTCGCAGCATCAGAGTCATGTGAAGGGCATCACATTCGACCCGGCTAACAAGTACTTTGCGACAGCGAGCGACGATCGCAGCATCAGAATTTATCGTTTCACACCGCCGCCGCCAGGCGCAACGGCCTATGACCAGACCAGCAATTTCACTTTGGAACACACTGTAACCGATCCCTTCAAAACCAGCCCACTTACCACATATTTCCGACGCTGTTCATGGAGTCCAGAAGGTGCACATATTGCTGCGGCGAATGCCGTCAACGGCCCTGTCAGTTCGGTCGCCATCATTACCAGAGGCACTTGGGATAGTGAGATCAACTTGATCGGCCACGAGGGACCGGTGGAGGTCTGCGCGTTCTCGCCGAGGCTATTCTGCAGAGATCCTCCACCTGAAGTGATACCCAAGGACTACCAGTCACCTGGAGCGGTGACAGTCGTGGCATGTGCGGGACAGGACAGGACAGTCAGTGTCTGGAACACTTCTTTTCCGCGACCTTTCGTTACGACCGCCGAGCTCTGCGCGAAACCTATCAGCGACATGGCATGGAGCGCCGAAGGAGAGACACTGTACGTGACATCTCTCGACGGGACAATAGCCGCCATGGCGTTTGAGAAAGGCGAGCTCGGGTATCCTGCGCCGAACGCAGATTACGACAAGGCACTCGCCAAATTCGGCGCAGGCCGACGTGTCGGCATCGTGGAGAGCACAGATGCGCTCTTATTAGAAAACAAGAGCAAGGATTCGGAGATGAATAGGGTCGAAGGCAGGATGGGAGACCTCATGGGAGACGCAGGACCGACAACAAATGGCTTGACAAACGGAGACGCCCCCATGGCCGACGCACCAAACGGTGAGATCGCGACTCCGCCTGCGCCTGGCCCTCCGAAAGACCCCCAAGTCGAGCGTGTCGAGAAGCTGAAGCAACGCGTGACGATCACGAAGGACGGCAAGAAGCGTGTAGCGCCGCTCCTCTTGTCTTCGTCCAACACGGGAGAGTCCAACCTTCCTCGCCCTCAACTACAAGCTGCCGTTCGTCAAGGGCCGGGCGCATCAGACGAGCCAGCGCATACATTAGATCTCAGCAAACCATACGACGGACTTCCTCCTGGCGGTTTAGCCACACTACTGATGGGCAATAAGCGAAAGTATGCAGAAGTGACGGACGAAGATGGCGAGAGCAGTCGCAACGATAAGCGCATACGTTCCATGCAGCAGGCTGGTGCGACTCCTGTTGTCCATAATACGGACGACGGTCTTGCACTCGCGAGTAGTGCCACAGCGAAAACCAATGAGCTTCCCGACGTCCTCCGCCCTGCTCTCATCAACCCTAGCATTGCCGTCAGCCAGACGAGGCTTGCTGTACCACTGCTGCGAAGCGTAATTACGAGACCTCTGGACTCGAGACAGCCGGCTCCGGAGCAGCAGTCTGTAGTCGAGGACAGCGAAGCAGCAATTGTCTTCGAAGCAAGAAACGCAACGGGCGCGTCGCGGACAGGACGTGCAGCGGATAAGGACCCTACACGTATCACCTTGTCCAAGCGTGGACAAATTCTCTGGCAGGACTTTCTCCCTCGGGCAGTGCTTCTCGTCACCGGCAACAGGAACTTTTGGTCAGCTGCTTGCGAAGACGGTAGTCTGCAAGTCTGGACGCCGGCCGGTCGCCGCTTGCTCAGTGCTCTCGTCCTCGAGGCACAACCTGTGATATTGGACTGTCGGGGCTGGTGGCTCTTAGCAGTGACTGCAGTTGGTCACTGTTATGTCTGGAATGTCAAGACCATGGCTGCTCCTCATCCACCCGTACACCTCGCTCCGGTCTTGGATATGGCCGCATCATCTCAACAAGGCCATCTTGTTGGCGGCCCAAGTATTATGTTCGCCCGATTGAATAGTCAAGGTCGCATAATCATCGGGATGTCGAATGGCGACGGGTATGCGTACAATTCAGCAATGTACGTTTGGCAGCGGCTCAGCGAAGCCTGGTGGGCTGTAGGCTCGCAATACTGGAATACAACCGACACGTCTCTTGCTTCCATTTCTACCAGCAAGAACAAGGGCAAGGAGAAAGACGGTTCGACGTTTCTGGACGAAATCAATCCAGAGAACATTTCAGCCGGTATCATCCCGCTACTAGAGCGGACTACCACATCTCATGCCATCATGAAGGGCAGAGGATACTTCCTGCAGCGACTTGTTAAGCAGTTATTGTCGGCCGAGGGCTTTGAAGGCTTCGAAAGCGCCGTCTCCATTGCACATCTCGAGAATCGGCTTGCTGCTGCTCAAATGCTCAGTGGCCGGGATGAATTTCGGGTATATCTTGTCATGTACGCGAAGCGAATCGGTGCCGAAAATCTCCAGAAAAAGGCAGAAGAATTGCTCCGCGGACTCGCAGGACGGCTGTTCGTGGACGAAGGAGAGGATGAAGATCTGCCAGGCGTAGATTGGGGACCTGATGACGAAATTGTCGGCTGGAAGCGCGAAGCGCTGCTACAAGAGGTCATATACATTCTGGGTAAGTATAGGGACATGTCCCGGGTGACAACGCCGTACGATGCGTACGTGAGAGCCATCAAAGATACGGATATGGTCCATGTCGGGGAGCAGGCCACGCCTTAGAGCGGCAGCCAAAAGCACGGCCCTGCCACTGTCGGACACAGATCCACAGACATTGGCAATACATCTAATATGGATGTTAATGCTTCAGCAACAGAGAATATGGATGCCCCAGCAACAGGGAATAGCGACTCACCAGACCGAATGTCTCCCAACTCTGGCGTTCGTCCAGCTGTCGCTGCAGTGGGAACAGTTCTCGCTTCAGTTGGCCGGCCTGCAGCTGTGCCCATAGCAACATCGGTATCGAGCTTACCAGCAGGGAACGCATTGACCCCAAGTCGAGGGGGAAATTCTTTGGCGCAAGATGTAGCCAATCTTGGACACGTGCCTACCAAAAGTGGGCATAACGTATTTGCGCTGCAACTCATGGAGGGCAAAACCCGGTCACGGAGCAAGAAGGATGACCAGAGATGATGTGACTATTATTGTAATAGTAGTAGCAGGATGCTAAGATATTGATCGATGGAAGGACTATCACGTGATGGGGAGATGACTTTGATGAGCGCTTACAGTCGCAAATACATTGGTTGTATACGTCACATCCACGTTGCTTTCATGGCTCGTTCTCTGTATGCTACTGTGCTCGTGCTCGTGTCTTTCATCAGTCATTAAGTGGCACTTAGAGCCAAGCATGTGTGCACGGACCATCCTATCCCGTCTCTGATGCTTCCACATCAAACTTCCCACCACCTCGGCTCTTACCACATCAACTTCATCACGGCGCATTTCGACATTCGTTTGGAGTTAGCATTGTGTCATCTGCTTTTTACCTGTAGCTTCGTCTCCTTAGCAGCAAGGCGCTTGGTTTGTTTGGTTGATCACAACCTAGAAAATTTGCACATACGTACACCGACATAATAAACTGCAAATGGCTTCAATGCGGACACACACTTTGCCGCGCTTGGCATCGTGCACTTGGACGCCACGAAAAATCCAAAGGGCCCAGCAATGTCTTTACGCCACCCAAGCGAATGATATTGAAGGCATGCTGGCCCACAAGAAGAATTGGGAGTCGAGGCCGGATGCCATTCGAAAGCTGGCCGTGTTCGCGGAGCATGCGAGAGCATCAAATTACCAGATCCCATTGCTATCGAAAGCACAGTATACGGGACCCAACGGAACCAACAACCCTGGAGCATTCACCCAAGAAAAGGCATACGAAATCGCAGCTGCGATTCGTCAATTACGGGAGATGAATGGAGAGACTGTAGCTGGTCGAAAGATCGGGTTCACAAATCAGAACATCTGGCATGAGTACATGGTCGACACCCCAAATTGGAGCTATATGTATCAGCATACCATTGTGAACCTCCCGGAACCTGGACAGCTTGCCGAAGGGCGCACAGTCCTAGCTGATATCAGACATCTCAATGCCATGGAGCCAAGAATTGAACCGGAGATTATGTTTGGACTGAAAAGCGTACCGAGATCTGAGATGAGTGATTTGGAGATCCTTGGGTGTCTGGAATGGATGGCGCATGGTTTTGAAGTGGTCGCGAGCATATATCCACATTGGAAATTTACAGCTGCGGACACAACTGCGGCTTTCGCACTGCATGGACTTCTGCTTGTCGGGCCAAAGAAGATGCTGAAAGGAAGCGAGGATGCAGCACTATTGAGTCAGTTGCAAGACTTTACAGTTGATCTCCTGAAAAATGGGGAGAAGGCCGATGAGGGAAAGGGCAGCAATGTGCTCGGAAGCCCAATCAGCGCACTACGCCGGCTGCTCGAACTGTTGGAGAAGGACGAGTTGAACATGCCGCTTCAGCCTGGAGAAGTTATAACGACAGGGACGCTGACGAAGGCGCTGCCAATCCAGAATGGAGATATGTGGTCGACGAAGTTGAGAGGTATTGAGCTGCCTGGAGCAAATGTGAGATTCAGGACAGAATGAGTCTTTGGTGGCATTGCGTTCTACGAAATCGCGTGATGCAAGCATCTTGAGACTCCTCAGCCATTGACTGGAGATCAATCAGGAGATCAGCGGAATTTTCGCCGGCTTGTAGACGCGACTTCGACTGGCCAGTTTACCAGGACGGCAGCAGTTGGGATTCCAGTCGAGACGTCGAATGCCGCACTTCAAGTGCTAGTTGGCACCTCTGAGCAATGTCAAGGCCAAGCTTGGGACTGCTGCTTTGAGCCTGCACCAATGCGGCCAGACATAACGCAAGCGCTCAGTTGCAAGGTGATCTGAAGCGAGCATCGGCAGCTATGAGAGAGGCAAAGAACTCATTTATCTTCTGCAGGAAGCAGAAAGAGCGCATTTCGGAATTGCGGCATCGTTCAACACTCCTGCATTGAACACTTCCGCTTTCTGAATGACGACACACTATACCAATGCCGCCTGAGACGGATAGGATATGGGCTGCTTGGCGAGACATTCGCAAAAAGCTCCAATATAGCCTGAATGGTGACTAAGAAGATTGGCGAATACGCTAAGTCTACACTATAAGCTGATCAATGCCTATATTGTATTCACCCGATCACTCGTAGATGCAGGCACTTCACATGAGCTCCGAAGCAGTCCCGGTTGAAGAACGGCAATGAGAGGCCGGTAGAAGCGATATACCAGTCGTGCCAGCGCACAGTTCCAACCTCAACGCTCGCCTCACGATTCACCTGATGTTTTGCTCGATTTGTGCACGCTCCTGTGCCTTGTTGTCCGGCGCATAGCTCTGCTGCCATTGCAATCAGCGTGCCTTTTCATCCCGAGAAGCCTTGTGTGGTTGCAAGAGCTGACTGAGAGAACGATCTATGGGCTGCATATCATCACTACAAGTCTGGCTGCTGTCGTCGACCTGGTAACGATGTCCTTTGCCCATTACCATTGAGCCAGGCTGATGCTTGATCATCCTTGACTTCAGCCACGATTTCTCGGCTAAAAGTCTTGAAGACCCACTTGCCTAGCGACTCCTCACCTCCAACCTCCACACCTTCTCCACGCTCTACGACACGCCAACTGCGCGACATGAGTACAAGGGTCATGTTTAGACTTGCCGCGACAGCTTCACAGCATCGTGCCACCGCCTCTGCTGCCGTCATACATGCATGACCACGGCTTGGTCGGCGACCTCGCGGCTCAATGGCAGACATGCTTTGCCAGCACTCCCGGTGCCTTGCATATATAGCAGAAGGTTTGTCTTTTCATTGCCCGCACACGGCCTTCATCTCTCCTATTGTTCCCTGTCAACCGTTATGGCCCGAACCCTAGCAGTACTGGCCTTTGCTGCTCAAGCTTGGGCACAACTCGAAGGGCGAGGTTTTCCTGACTGCAGCAATGGCCCGCTTCAGAACAACGATGTCTGTGACCAATCGTTAGATCCGGTCACCAGAGCAAGAGCACTCATCGCTGAATTTACGGTCGCCGAGAAGATCAACAACACCGATTCCACCAGTCCCGGTGTGCCTCGCCTTGGCCTCCCAGCTTATACGTGGTGGCAAGAAGCACTCCATGGCGTGGCAGACAGCCCTGGTGTAAACTTCTCAGATACTGGAGACTTTCGCTATGCCACTTCCTTTCCACAGCCGATCTTGATGGGAGCTGCGTTCGATGATGCGCTTATCAAGGATGTCGCCTCCGTCATCAGTACCGAAGCCAGGGCATTCAACAACTTCGACCGTGCCGGTCTGGACTTCTGGACTCCCAATATCAACCCATTCAAAGATATCCGCTGGGGTCGTGGCCAAGAAACACCTGGCGAGGATCCATACCATCTCAGCAGCTACGTACACAATCTGATCCAGGGTCTTCAAGGCGACGATGAGAAGTACAGGAAGGTCACAGCAACATGCAAGCATTTCGTTGCCTATGATATCGAGGATTGGAATGGCAATCTGCGCTACCAGTTCGATGCTCATGTTGGCTCGCAAGAGCTTGTTGAGTATTACATGCCGCCTTTCAGGTCTTGTGCACGAGACTCTAACGTTGGAGCATTCGTATGTTGGCTCTATTTTCTCCACTCAATGCCCCGGCATTTGCTAATTACTCTGAGTTACGCAGATGTGCAGTTACAATGCGCTGAACGGCGTGCCCACATGTGCGGATCCATGGTTGCTCCAGGACGTGCTACGAGACCACTGGAACTGGTCTTCACCAGATTACTGGGTCACAAGTGATTGTGATGCGGTACAGAACGTGTTCTTGTTCGTTGCCGATCTCTAGGATCGCGTATAGCTGAATTTATGCTGACCACGTGACCAGACCTCACGAATATGCCGCCACACGCGAAGAAGCTGTAGCAGTGTCATTAAAAGCCGGCACTGACATAGACTGCGGACAGTACTTTTCAAGCTTTCTGCCTGGAGCCTACGCCCAAGGTCTCATCAACGAGGCAGACCTCGACAAGTCATTGATCCGACAGTATACTTCACTTATTCGCATGGGCTACTTCGATGGCACAACAGTTCCATGGAGGAACTTGACTTTCGCTGATGTGGCTACTCCATACGCTGAAGACCTGGCCTAGCGAGCAGCAGTGTCTGGAATTACTCTGTTGAAGAATGACGGCACGCTGCCTCTGAAAATCGAAAATGGAACCAAGCTAGCGCTGATCGGCGACTGGGCAAATGCAACCTCTCAAATGCTCGGAAACTACGCAGGTATTCCACCTTTCTTCCATGGACCTCTATGGGCAGCCAACCAGACCGGCGCTGAGGTGCTCTACGCTCGAGGTCCTGGTGGAGAGGGAGATCCGACGACGAACAATTGGCGCCCGGTCTACAACGCGGCCAACGAAAGCGATGTCATCGTGTTCGTTGGTGGCATCGACAACAACGTCGAGTCTGAAGGCAGCGATCGTGTCACAATGGCGTGGACCGGAGCGCAATTGGATATCATCTCATCGTTGGCGAGCTACGGCAAGCCCATGATCGTAGTTCAGATGGGTGCTGGCCAGCTCGATGACACTGCACTACTCAAGAACGAGAACATCAGCGCTATCCTATGGGGTGGCTACCCAGGCCAGGATGGAGGCAGAGCAATTTTTGACATCATTCAGGGCGTTGTTGCACCAGCGGGCAGACTTCCCACGACACAGTATCCTGCCAAGTACATCTCGCAGATCCCGATGACTGACATGAACCTTCGACCCAATGCCACAAGCGGTTCTCCAGGACGCACTTACATGTGGTACAATGAAGAACCTGTTCTACCCTTTGCACACGGCTTGCACTATACCAACTTCACAGCCCAGATCAAATCAGAAGGTCCCTCCGGATATTCCAGTAACTCCTACGAAATCAGCTCCCTGCTCAAAGGCTGTTCGGAATCGTACCTCGATCGCTGCCCGTTCCAGACATTCTCTGTCGACGTGGCAAACACAGGATCCGTCACGAGTGACTATGTCACACTCGGCTTCCTCGCTGGTACTCATGGTCCTGCACCTCACCCAAACAAGCGTCTGGTCGCATACGAGAGGCTGCATAATATCACAGGTGGCTCAACAGCAACTGCTGCCCTCAACCTGACACTCGGGAGCTTGGCACGTGTGGATGATCAAGGCAACACTGTTCTGTATCCAGGTGACTACGCTCTGCTGGTCGATATTCAGCCTCTCACGACAGTCAACTTCACGTTGACTGGAGAGGCGACGACACTGGATCACTGGCCGCAACTACCAGCTGAGAGAGTCCAGACCGGTGACTACTTCGTTGGTGGCTACGGTAGTGGTGCTCCATACCAGCTTCAATATCCGACAGAGGTATAATTATGATAATGGTTTGCATATCGCATACAAAGCTTGAGGATGGCCACAGATACTTATCGAAAGTCCAAAAGTAATGGTAGTATGAATTCATCATTATGGACGAATCTCCATAAAAGCATACCCTTCTCTCAAGCAACATGAAGTCTCTTTTCATTAGCTTGACTCTGACTCCAAATGCGTTCCTGAGATCTGTTAAATGAACACCATCTGACGTTGAAATTGGGTCAAACTCTTAATACAGCAGTGAGAACAAAGTATTTGTACATGCTATCCACAGAATGTAACGCGGGTATCGTGAACTATAATTACATGAACAGACCTTCCCAGCAGATTCCGCCATTAACTCAATTCCGGTCAACATTGAAATGCATCGACTTCCATTCCTCCACGATTAAGCAGTCGTCGCAATACCATTTCTTTGATTCCGGGGCTTCTTCGAAACCCAGACATTCAAAATGGAACCATTCTTTCTTGCACTGCTCCCCGTCACAGGCAAGCATTCTTCCGGAATCGGGTCCATTGCAATAGCAATACGTCGTTTTCTGCTCCTGGGTCGACTCTTGAGCTCCATCATCCTCCTCTTCTGCGTCATCTCCTTCTTCCATCTCGATATCTTCATTATCATCATCAGCAACATTACTTTCCACAGTCTTGCCCTCTTCAAACGGTATCTTATCCTCATCAACCTTATCCCCAGACCTCTTTTGCTGTTTCGCCGCCCTGTCATTCGCCTCCTCCTGCTCTTCCTCCTCAGACTTCTTATGCTTCCGCTTCAATGAGTGAGGATGCTCGTCTTGATGCTGCATCTTCGCAACCTCCTCGCTTTCATTATTACATTCTTCATCATCATCACCAACAGTATTGTTCTCCGGATCCCTGAGCCCATTGACCAACCTCCGCACTCCTTGGTTGTCACCTTCCTCGGAGTCCTTCAATTCAGGATCGACCCATCCTTCCGTGTACGAACCTCCAAAATCGATGATCCACAGATCGTCATTCTTGTCCACCATGAAGTTATCACCTTTGCTGTCACCCCAGATAATGTCATGCTGATGCAGCAGGTCTACCATTCGCGCTGATTCTTGCGCCCAGGAATTTCGTTTATCCTCTGGAACTTCGGTGCTCAGCATCTTCGTCAGTGGAGTAGCATCTTCGATACAGTCCATGAGGAACCCCATCATTTTCGATTTACTGTTATCGTCATCGAAGTGCACCAGACCTCGTAGCAGCGGCACGCGAAGCTCGTTCTGGAGACCTTCGGCTTCCAACTTCTTCATTATCTGAATCTCGCGCTTTGTGGGGCCGGGTTGTGCATTGTCGACTGCCTTGAGAAAATATCGTTTTCCGTCGTGTTCGACCAGTGTAGGGTGTATTGGGGTTTCTGCAGGGCCTTCTGCTTCATCGATGACAGTGATTTCGGACGCAGCGAACGAGGGCACGTTGAGTTTCTGAATATATTTGGGAAGGTTGATGGTCGGGATGAGCTGATCAGTTCGCTTGGTCAAGGATTCGGAAGCAGAGTCTTCGACGGCAGAGAGCTTGCCCGAAGAGATTGTGAGGTGGTAATAGTGCGTAGGGCAATGGAACCACTCCTGAACTGTTCGATGCTTCTTTGCGGCCTTCTGCTTGGGTGCATTGGACTTGAATGTCGAGGCCAGAGGTCGAAGCATCCATCTTTGTAGCGCTTCCGGCGGGCCGACATCGTGCTCATTCTCGTCCTCGCTTGCGTCAGTGCTCGCTGACCGACTGCTCACGTCGACACCGCTGTCCTTGTCGTCGGATGCGTCCTCTTCGTCCTCGTCTTCCTGGACGAAAAGCGGAGCAGTCTGATGTGTGGCATCTTCGCCAGAAGCTTCAGCTTGGACTTGCTGCAACAATCGCTGGTATCGCTCTCTGATTTTCTTGCCGGCCTTTGATCGATCTTTCAAGTCCTTTGGATCCACGATGACATGATACCGCTCGTGATGCACCAACGTCGTCAGCGCACATCCGCCGTCATTGTCATAAAAGTAGTTCAATACATGGTGCTCAGGAAGCTTGACCATGATGCCGGGTTCTAAGAAATGAATTGGTTGGAGAAGGTCTGGACTGAGCACAGAGAAATTGGTAGGGCATTACGAAGAGCAGTATCGAGTGGGCACTACGTATGCCTAACATACTGTTCTATGTCGTACATTAGCATCACTGTAGCCACACAGTGTCTAGTCAGAGACATCGACATCATTGATCTGTGCTGGAACACTTAGTGAATAGTTTGCATCATGAGCAGCTCAGTTGGGTGAAGTGGCAGGGGCGGGATCGATGAGCCGAAATCTAAAGATCTCATATCGGCAGGGGTACATCTCGGGAGCGGGAAGATCGAGGCAACGACCAATGAACGAAGCGCATGGTGGTCTAGCGCATCGCGATTGTGCAGAGTGGACGCGATCCGCGTAAAGTGGTTGCTGCACTCGTGTGGAAGGATAGAGAGCCGCCGTCTAGTTAGACTGATCGCGTGTTGCTCCTGCGACACATCGCATTTCCGCAGATACGCCGCCGTCAATTTTGCGGCCTTGGTGAGTGACCGTCTCTTGAGAGCGACCGCGTGAACGACTGTTCTTTTGGGCGCATTTGGACAGTGTCGACGTCTGCGGCATTTGCAACGCCACCCACGTGGTCGACACAGGTACGAGGGAAAGACAGTGCGCTCGCGCATCTTAGGTCCGATGATTGATCATGCACCATGCTTGCGAACTCCAGTCCTTGATCGTAGCTGTCCGGCAAATCTCGCGACGTGCGTCTTCAAGCAGTCGCAGGTACCTGTTCGGCGGCTGGTCCTAGCGATGCCGTTCTCCTCAGCAGCGACCTGGCAATGCCACGCGACGGCCCCTATGTCCCTCTTGCGGACAGCTTCTCATGCATGAGAGTGTGATCTTGCAATTTGACTTGCCAGGCCATGTTGGTTTTACTCCATTCCAGGCATCAAGCTCACGCGGTCGAGAACCATGCCTCTGGTGCCCACCCAGTCCCGCAGAGCCTCCCACTCTTCACCTTCCTCTTCGCCGCGCTTGTCCAGATCTTTGAACCCCCATGCGCCGGCCAGCCGATCAATTGCAGCCCTCTCTTCTTCTCTCACCCATCGCTCCCACAATGGCACTCCACTCGCCCATGTTACGCGGTCCATCTGGTCATTGGACGTGGTGACAGCAACATATCCTGTCATGGCAACAGCGCCGACGTAAGTCATGATGCCTGCAAATGCAATCCCCGTGGCTGTCCCGGTGTCCATTGTTTGCTGCAAATTGGAGAATTGCGTCGAGAGTGTATAGGCCGCAATAGGTGCAATTCCCAAGCCTGCCATTGGAATAGCAGCCTGTTTGAAAGTTTTCGCCTTCTTGAAGGATGGCGTGCAATATGAAGTGGAAATGATATCGATCGCCAGAGGCAGTTGATGTGCCTCGATGGCTGCGCCCAATGCCTCTTTGGCAACGTCCGAAGGGATAGCCGATTTTATCTGGTCCGGCGAAGCGGGCGAGTAGATGACCTGGCTCCCTTTGAGGCTAGGAATCGGCTTGTTGCTGTAAAGGTGGAAGATATCGGGAAACGACGAAGGCTGGTGAAGCAAGCTCTGAAGCTGTACATATGCCTCGAGGATGGCGGGTGTCACGAAGACATTGGGATCGCGAGCTATCTGCTCGGCACTCTCGCTGATCACGTTCAAGATGCTTGCCTTGCTGATAACAGCAGGGTATGATCTCGCGTTGACGCTGCCCAGCAGTGCTGATGTCGCCGTCTCCTTCTGCTCCTTTGCGTGGGCTCGTGGATTGCTATCGGCACCTCGCTCCTCCAAGACGACCTTGGCCAGGTATTCCAGCTGCTCCAATGTATACAGGACTCGTTCCTCGGCGGGTAGTGTGCCGGGTCCGGGTTGGAGTACCGACGACGAGAGTTCCTGTACGCGGCGGTGGATCTTGTTCAGATCCGGAGCTGTGTATGGCTTTGGCGGGGGCTGCGTGCTCGCAGTGGCCAGCTGGCGGATCTGCTGGATGCGTGCATGCTGCGAACCTGCCCTTGGTGCCGGCGGACTGCTGCGGTGTGAAAGTGGGCGGCGCGCGATGGGGGGTGTGACGGCGGAGGACTGCACAATGGGCCTCGATGGGTGGATGATCGCTGTCGGTCGCAGCACGGCAGCGATGGGCTCTCGAGCTATCCGACGAAGCTCCATGGCTGCTCTGTGCGTGCTGTTCCTGTGAGCACACTGACTGCAGCTGCTTGGTGATGCCGCGGAGGTGACACGCTTTCGATCCACGGTCACGTGCTGCCTGATCAAATGTGGCCTGAGTTCTATATTATCAGACCGATTGCACAATGATCTGTACATTTGCTTTCGTACATCTGGACTGCTTAGCCAGGCTCAAGCTCTCTTTAACACGATGCCATCCTACGATCAGCCATCCCAATGCCCTACTCAAACTGCCCGCCACATCCACTCCCCATTGCCAACACTCAATACATCAACATCCCGATTTTCACAAATCTCCTCTTCAATCGTCATCAACTACCATGCGTCCGGCATCATTCGGGTCGGTGACATCCACAAGCTTCGCCTTCTTTCTTGGTTGAAGTGGTCGAGCGCCGTCTCTGAACTCCGCCCAACCTGGACGACACCACAGTCGCTCTGCTTTCCCTAAAGGCGCCATTTGGCCCAACCCTGGCTTCGTCTCATCATCAGCAAGCGGCAACAGTCGAGCGTTCTGAATGATTGCTCGAATGCCGCCATCGTCCTCGAGTGCTTTGGCATCCAAATGCTCGGCTTTGGTCATTTGCTGACTCCGCTCGTGCATGGCTTGCTCGATCGAACCCTCAAGCACCAACGTTTCACACATCACTGGACGCGTCTGTCCAATCCTGTGTGCTCGCTTCAAGGCCTGCGCTTCGACATCGGGCTTACACACGGGATTTATGAACCATACTCGTGAAGCAGCACACAAGTTGAGCCCAAACGCAGCTTGGCCAACATCCATCAGCAGAACCCGCAAGTCGTCCTGCTCCTGAAAGTTGACCACGTATTGCGCCTTCAGCTTAGCCGACAGCGATTTGGCATAGATCTCGTGCTTGATGTGGAATGTTTCCAATATCTGGCTCACGTACCACGCCGCGTTTTCGCCTGTGTAGAATATGAGGATCTTTTCGCTCTGGTAATGCTCAAGGATCCTTGTCATTAGATACGATAGCTTGGCAGACGTTGTGCCAACAATGCGTGTCTTTTCGTACGGCGAGTTGTCGGGGAGCAATGGCATGCTCGACTCTGCAGTAGATTCGTGTACAGCGTTTGTAGAATCCTCCGAAAGTCGACGACGCTTCGATTTCTGCTCCGCTCGAGCAGACTGAGATATTGTCTTTCGTGGTGAGCCAGCCTTGCCACTCGCTGAATGCGAGCCACGACGAAGCAGCACGGGCTCACCATCAAGACTTGAAGTCGGAATGCCCGATTTCGCTAACACAGGCTTGGACTCCTCTGCTTCCGCTTGTCGGCGAGCGTTGCGAAGGGACTTTATACCGGCGCCTGAAAGTCCCTCTCCAGGGTCCTGTTGGTCGAGGCGTGCGTTGACAAAGCTTTGGGCTTCCAGTAGTTGCGTGATCCCCGTCAGTAGCGGCGTGTTATCGTCAAATGACCAGTGCTCGGCACTCTCTTCTGGCCAACCCTGAACATAGACGCCTAGCTCGTGGCATCTGCTCATGGCCGTCCAGCCTTTTGAGGCCAAAATGACTTCTGTACAACGGAGTGTCTCTTCCAACAACTGACGATCCTCGGGCGTGCAATTTGAATCCTCTTTTGCCAAGTAGTTTTTGCTATTCTTGATGCTTGCGTGCACATCGGCTTCACTGAATCCTGACCAGAAGAAAGCGCTTTGCCTGAGATTCGCGACCAGCTGCAGTCTTGCTTTTGTGCTGTTCTTGTGGAACAGGTAGTCAGAATCGGTTCGTTCGGAAGTCACCGCGTTCGCAGTCAACACCAGCGTAAACAGATTAGCAGTCACTTTGTCGTAGAAGCTGGGCTTAAGGACCACGAGTTCGTGATGGAGAGGAGGCAGCTCAATGTCTCGCTCATAATCCTCTGGTCTCGTCTTGACTACCACAGCCTCAAGCATCCGCCGCAAAGAGACTGAGAATCCAGAGTATGTTCGTTCACGTCTATCTTCATGTCGATAAAGATAGTTCTTCGCCTCAGCCGACGTCCATGGTGTCACTCGTAGGAAATTGCTTGCGAGAGTGCTTAAACTGTCAACGGCTCCGCCTCGGTCAAGCTTCGTATCGAATGTGCGTCTGAGGTCCAGAGTGGCATCTCTGTTCGAGCCTGCCAGCTGGGCATCGATTTCGACTCCCAGCAGATCCTTAGCTGGAGTGCCTGAGACCACCCAGCGATGGTCAGCCCTGACAAGCTTGTTCGCAACGAGAATGGTGCTAGTAGTGCCACCATTGCCGAAGAATGCTCCTTCGTCCGCAATAAGCCTCTTGAAGTGTACTTCTTTCAGCGGAGACGAATACAGATCATTTTCCGATAAACAATAACAGTCGCGTGTTCGGGTAGCGCCAATGTACGTGCAAGTGCATGTCATCGCGTTCTTTGGCATGCGACGGCCATTGGCATCTTGCCCGTCTTGGATCTCCATGTCGAATCGATTCCGTGTAAAGAGGATGATGTCGTATCTAGCAAGTTCCTGCGCTGGCGGAAGTGGCTTCTTTCTGTCGTCCATGACTAGGACTTTCAAAGCACCCTGCTCGACATGCTTGCCAATCTCGGCCGTCCATTGTTTACACAAATTTTGCGGAACCACAACTAACGTCGTGGATGCCATCAAAATGTGTGCCGGAGGATGCACGATAGTGTTACGATTGAATCGAACCGGCATCGCAGGGATATCGTATGTTGCAGGTTGCTCTTCAAGTCGTGATGCAAGAGCCTGGCCAACTCCTGAACTTGCCACTTTGTTCAGGCGGTCAAGCTCCACCCGGTAAGGAACTCCTCGCCTGTTGATAGTCGAAACCACCATGTCCGCAAGGCTACCCACTCTGTTTCGAATTGGAACTGTAGCGTACTGGACGGGCATCTTGGGAGGATGGTGCTTCGTTGTGAGGATCAGAGCGAGACAGATAAGCGTCTTCCCGTACCCCATGGTCTCTGCAAGGATACCGCCGCGAGGGGCTTCTTGGTACTTTGGCTCCTTGAGGAACTGCATGTCCCTCGGAGAGTAGTAGAACTGAGAGCCGTCCGCTGCAGTTCTACTTTCTAGCCGCATGTCGAGCATCAGTTTCGGGGCTGTTTCGCGCTGCATCATGCACCCTGCTGAGCGCCTCTGAAAAGGGTATAGCGAAGTCTTCATTCCCGCGATGTCATGGTCAAGATCCAGGAGATCTTCCAGGCCTTCCGACAGGTACTGCTCCTCAATCTCGCGATGATTAGGTGACGGGGACGGCAGCTTGTTGAACATATAGAACAGACTGGGATTTTTGGAATCTCTGGATGACCACATGTCGAAATGGCGATTCTTGCAGGGGTCATATTGCCCATCCCATCTAATCAACATACCGAGATTAGTGAATTATCGCTCTACTTCACTTAAGGTTGACTTACAGTGCAGGATTTGTATCCACTCTAGCGACTACAGCCTCAACGTCCGATAGAAGTGTCCTGTTAGAGCGCTCAATGGACGTCAAACCCACATCGTTGAATAGTAGGTAGACTCGAAAGATCAAAGACCGACGCTGGAGCTGGCACTTCGAGGACTGTAGTCTAATCCAGCCGTTCCGCAGAAGTCTGGAGAGGCTCAATGTAATGCTTACTGGGACGAAGGGCTGCTCAGAAATGGACGTCACTTCGTGCCAGGTGTCGAGCCCCTCATGCTCGAGTATCTCGTTTGTATCCTCGGTCTCGATGTCCTCGAAGACCAAGCAGCCCAAAGCCAGATAGTTCGACAAATCTGCAAGGACCTGGCCAGTGTCTCCTGGGCGCAGCGATGCGCTGTACACGGGTGCCGACGACAAAGTTGAGGGCGAGCTAGCAACCGAGGTGCTCTCAGTATCGCTACCTAGTGTGCTCGTACTGGAACTGATGTCTCTTGTTTGGACTGGAATCTCCATGTCGTTCACGTTCGTCCGGTCTATCGCCGCGTGGGTTGTCTCCTACGGCGGCAAAGAATGAGTTCCGATCAAGAAATCGGCATGCTTGTAGTCGGGCGACAATCTCATTCTCGCCTTGCACAACGTATCGCTACCAAACAAGATCGGCTTTTCGGACGTGAATCGATAAAATGTTGTCGGCTTGATCTTGCAGGAGGCAACAGGAAGCGCGACTGCTCTGTCAAGGTTCAGGGCAGTGCCAAGACATTAGCGCCACTTCCACCAGAGCGTTCGACCTCACGTTCACCTTCAGTCTCAAATATCTGATCAATATCCACTATACCTACCCGGAGTCAAACACGTCAAGCCATGGCAGGTCCAGCCAAGAAGAAGCAAAAGCGCGAAGAAAAGCAAGAAGGCGAATTGCCGCAGAAAAAATACTACCGCCAAAGAGCGCATGCAAATCCTTTCAGCGATCATGACTTGACCTAGTATGTCAACATGCTGATCCAGATACCAATGAAGAGCGACACTGATCTCACATCCAAGCCCAGAGTCGCCAGACGCCATGGACTGGAGCCAGCACTACCCTCACTTCATCGCTCCTCAAAATGGCGACAGCAAGATCGAAAATGGCACGCCAGCAAATGGACAACCTCCCACAATGACCAAACAAGTCACAATCGCAGACATAGGCTGCGGCTTCGGCGGCCTAACCTTCGCCCTCTCCCCCAAATTCCCCTCCAACCTAATCCTCGGCCTCGAAATCCGCACCTCCGTAACCTCCTTCGTGCAAGACAAAGCCCGGGCCCTCCGAACCCAACACGCCTCAACATCCGGCTACCAAAATGTCTCCTGCGTGCGCGCCAACACCATGAAATTCCTCCCAAACTTCTTCCACAAAGCTCAACTCGAAAAAATCTTCCTCTGTTTCCCGGATCCGCATTTCAAAGCACGGAAACATAAGGCGAGAATCGTGAGTACGACGTTGAATTCAGAGTATGCGTTTGTGATGAAGCCCGGAGGGAAAGTTTATACGATTACGGATGTGGAGGATTTGCATTTGTGGATGGTGGAGCATTTGGAGGCGCATCCGAGTTTTGAGCGTGTGGGGGAGGAGGAAGTGGAAGGGGATGAGTGTGTGAGTACGATGCGGGTGGAGACGGAGGAGGGCAAGAAGGTGGAGCGGAACAATGGGAAGAAGTTTGTGGCGGTGTTCCGAAGGCTGGAAGATCCGCCGTGGCCGTGAGATGGTTCATAATGAGCGAGTGGATGAGAGAAGCAGATTTGTGCATGAGAAAGTTTGCAACAAACGAGAAGAACTAAACATTATGAGAGTGATGAGATCTGAGTGCGTGCATTGACATGTTCACTTTTCATTATGCCGTGACCTCTCCACGGCTCCAGCAATCAAAATATGTATATGCCTCGCCATGATCTGTGTCATGCTAGAATTACAAGGATTATCCGTATATCCCAATCTTCATAAATACGTACGTCTTTCTGTCCATAGAACTCTCGTAGTTGCTGTTAAATCACTCGCAACATTTCGGTCATTATGTGCTTTTGCGGGTAGGGGCGCTGTCTGCCCGCACGTGGGTGGTGTCATATCGATATTCCAGCTCATCCCATTTCCACAGCAATATCAACCAAATCGCTAAATCAGACCAAAAAAGAATTGCAACATCGGTTGCGCGGGTTGGATCTCCTCGTGATCTGCTCGGCAAGCTGGAGAGCTCGCGTATGAGAGTGGGAAGATATTTTGCGCTCAAGAAGCGGCGCTGGCTGGACTGCTGGACGCCGTGCCAGCTTTGCCGTCACCCTTTTTGGCCTTGTCCGATTCTACGAGAACGAATGTGTAGTTCTTTGGGCCATTGTCGATCGTTGCTTTCCGCGGAGTGGCTGCTCCTTTTACTTCTGAGGGAGGACTATACTCGTGCACGAAGAACTCAGTGGGTGGCTGATTCTGCTTCGGCAATTGCGAGGTGACGTGCATTCCAGGTGGTGGGCATGCATTAGCCACGAAGCTATACTGTTGGGCAGACTGAGGGGGCTGGCCGGCTGAATGTGACACGTACTGCATGTGTTGCATCTGTGGGGGATAGGCCATTGTCAGCTGGCCTTGCGGGTTGACGATCGGCACGCCGTTCGTGAACGACATGGGTAGTTGTGGGGCCTCCGAGGCGGGAACCATGAAATGCTGCGCGGGAGCATAATGCGACGCCGGCATGTGCATTGGTTGTTCTGGCATGGACACATTCATGAACTGCTGATGATGTGCTTGTGAATAGCCCTGCTGAACTTGTTGAAACTGGCCAGATGAGGGAAGCGGCTGAGGTGGTGGGGGCATGAAGGCAGTGGCGGGAAAGGAAGTCTGCACCGCTGGGGCGGACTGTGGAGGCGTGTTCTCAGTAATGACAGTGTTGCCGATCCTTTGTCCCGTCTGGTGGTGATGGTGATACATCGGGGTATGTGGTGGAGAAGTGAATGCTTGTGGTTGCGCGGTGCTGTCGACATTGGCGTTGCTTTGCTCAGCGTCACTTTCGCTGATGCTTGTCTGCGTACTGAAGTTGCCAGAGCTTTGCCAGGGTGGGAACTGCGGTCGAGACTGCTCCTGTCGACTATTGGGCGATAATGGTGTCGGAGGAGCGAGATTGCCGGACATGGAGATTTGAGCATGTCTCTGGTTGGCGTGCATGGCGTCTGCAAAGGTCCAGCTCATAGGGGATCGCTGTGCCGAACCGGGCGTAGATTTCATGACCCTGCCTTGGGCCACTCCATTGATTACATTAGAAGATCTGATTCGTCGTAGTTGCTGTGCTGGTACTAGATTCTGTGACTGTTGGCTGGGTGACGCAGGCTGCACTGCTCCACTGTACGATTGACTGCGCAGTGAAGCCAAGCCTAGTGCTGCTGGCCGCGGCCGTTGGCGTCTGGCAGCCAAACTGCCTCCATTGCCCTGAGGAGGCGGAGGTGATTTGAAGGTCGCGTTCTGTTGCGGCTGGGGAGTCTGGATGGCAAACGAGCTCATCTGCTGTGCGAGCACTGTGCCAGTCTGAGAGTCCCTTCGAACGAGCGCCTCTTCCGAAGGCCATGCCAGAGGTTGCTCCGATTGCTGTTGTTGCTGCTGCTGGGCCAGGCGTTGAGCCTCTTGAAATTGCTGTTGGAGTTCGGTCGGGTCCACAGGAATCGACTGGCCAGGCTGCCATTGACCTGAGCTCGATGATTGCTGAGCCGGCACGGGCTGGAACGGGCTGTCAGATCCACTATGCGGTGCCAGGGAAACAGAAGAGCTGCGACTATCAGCCCAGTCGGAGGAACTTTCCGACAGAGCAGTGCCATCGTGCATGAGAGACGACGGAAACATGGAGTGTTCTGACATGGTAGATGGTATGCTCGAATCATTGCTCGACAGAGAGGCACCAGTGTGATCAGTGAATACCAGTTCCCCGTCTTTGAAGTCGTCATGATCCATGCCGGTGTAAGCCGCTTCCAGAGCATCCGAACTGCCAGGGAACGTCTGAGGCAAGCCCGAGTATTGCACAGCCGATGGCATCAGGCCGCCATGATGGGTAAACGCGTCGAACTGCTCTTGGGTGAGCGTCCTACGATTCAGCTCCTGCGGACTGTCAAACATGTCCTGGGACATAGACTGCGGTGGCATGAGTCCGTTGGCGAAGGGCTCATTCGGAGCAGAGATGCCAGCATAGGGCAGCCCGTTGGGCATGGTGCTCGATGGCATCTGCTCTTGGTATGGCGGCGGATGGAAGGCGGTGGTGGGTATCTGTCCGTCGGAAGCGCATTGCTGCATCATCGTGAAGTATTCGGGCGGCGTGAAGGCGGGCGATGTGTCGGAGTCGGAATTAAAGGCATTCGACTGCTGATCGGACGGCTGCTGCTGCTGACATTGCTGCGCGTACAAGTTGTACGCGCCCGCCTGCTTCTTCGCATCTTGCTTCGACTTCGCGCGGCGATTCTGAAACCAATTCTGTACACGTCTCAGCGCGATCGTCCATTCGCCCATTGCGATGGCGCTACTTACATTGATCTTGTCCAGCGAGACATTGAGCGTCTCAGCAAAGCCCTTCTTCGTGTTGGTGCTCGGCTTGTTCTGCTTCTGAAAATGCGACTCCAAGATGTCGTGCTGCTCCTTGGTCAGGCGCGGCTTGATGTCGCACGTCATCTGCGGCGGCATGGACGGGTTCCCGTTCACGCCGTACTGATGGTGGTGTTGCTGCGGCAGCTGCCCGCTGCCGTCGACATAGGGATGGAAGGCGGCGGGATGGTGGTGGTGGTGCAGATGCCGGTGCTGCTGTTGCTGCTGCTGCTGGTGGCCGGAGGGAGGCGCGACGAAGGCCATGTCCATGCAACGGCCAGGCTGGACGCCAGGCCTGGCTCAAGCACGATCACGCAGGCAAGGCGGGCAGGTATGTGAGTCTCCGTTGCTCCACGCTCGCGGCAGTTTGGCAACGAAGTATGCGGGCGGTTGGCCGTTGTGCTTCCGCACCGCCTGTCTTGCCCTGCCAGGCGATCAGCGCAGGCGCGCCGTCCAGCTTATCCCCGTTCGTGCTCAGCAGCGGCCCCGGACCCAAGTTTGAGCAGGCAAGCGAGCGAGTGGCCAGGTCTCGGGCGAGTGGTATGCGGCAGCGCGTCAAGGTGTGGTAAACGAGAGAAAGAAAGACGGTTAACGACGGCGATCACGAGTCCAGCGTGGAGACGAGACGGGCAAGCGAGTGTGATGATGCGGGCGATGCTGACGGGCGGAGACGAGGGTGGATGTGCGCGGCGGAGAGCAGCAGCAACAGCGTGGTCGAGCAAGCAAGCAAGCAGGCAAGAGGGAGAAACATGGGGCCCTCAGTCAGGACGCAATATGGTAGCAACCTACACCACCACACGGGCGCGAGCGAAGCGGCCGGCCGCCAGCGTGCGATCACCAGCGCGCCCGGAGATCCCTGCCCAGGTGCAACGCATCCACCACTCGTGCTGCAGGCTGCGCAGCGAGGACTGGAGGAACACATCCGTCGCACACTGGCGATTGGACGACACCGAGCGCACCCCCCTGGCAGCTGCACGCTCTGCGGCGAGGTTTATTTTTACCGCACCGTCGCCTCGCTGCGCTGCTGTTCTTGTCCTCATCCTGCTCGACAACGCCCGTTCTGGCCGCGCGCGCCTGGACGTTGCCCGGCTTGCGCACTTGTATGGCCACTGTTTCCGGGCGCGTGGTGTGCTGTCCTGCGTGCGCCGCCCATCACACACGGCACGCGCTCTCCCGATGCGCTACCGTGTGGACTGTGAAGAGCAGCCGGAGTCGGGAGGAGCTGTGGGCAGCTGGTGCGCCGCGAGGGCTGAGAAGCTGGTGCAGCTCAGAGTTTGGCGCCAATGTCGAGAGAAAGCTACAGAGAGCGGCGAGGAACCGAAGCTATGGCAGGAACTGGTTTAGCCTGCCGCTGGAATAGTGCATCCCCGTCTCAAAGCAGTCGACATGAATTTCAAGGGCCGAAGCGTGTCGATATATCATTAGTCGCTGTCACTGCCGTCGCGCAAGTGGTTGTTCGCTATAGTGAGATGTGCAATGTCATGCGAGCCCATGTTGACGCGGGAGATTGCTTGGCCGGCGGCGAGGTCTAAATGCGTGGTCGCACACAATCTGGGAGGTTGTGTGCCACGTCTCGTAGCTGCAAGGTCTCGCTGGCATGGGCGACGATTCGCTGCTCGACGCGGCATCGTGCAGGCGGATATCAGCCCTGTAGCGCAAAATAGGGGCACTTGGGTCGGACGAGAGCACGGCGATGATGGAGGCATGATTTCACGAGTGCCCATCTGGTGCATCGTGGTGGGGCAGCATCGTTGATGAAGATGCCCTCGAGCTGCAGAGCTCAATCTCTGCGCCGATGCTTTCCTCTGCCGCTGCCGCCGCCGCCGCTGCTCCTGCGACAGCTGCAGACTCCCGAGCCGTGGAACCGACACGATGGCCGTCTTGACTCTGCGGCCTCTGGGCGTCAAAGTTCGTATCGGAAGCGCCTTCTTCTGCCCGGCCTGGAGATGTCCTCGGCTGGGAGCGATTCGGCGCCTGGCAACATCATACCAATCATTCACTCATCGATGCAGAAGAAAGCACGGCTTCTGATTGCGGTAACACCCTGTACCTTGCAGCTGACTGGCCAAGCAGGCTGTTGTACGACTGTCGAGTTGACACATGGCCACACGTTTGACGGAGCTTCCAGTGCGCCGGCCTGGACGAGGAGCACGCTGCATGCGGCGCAAGTCGTCACAATCTGATGCACGCCATCGGGAGCTTGCGTGGTGCATATGCTTCTGGTCGACGTGCTGCTGTCGCTGCCAGCTCACCGCCCGATGGCGCGCGATTCTCAATCCAGATGCCAAAAGCAAGCAACCACGGCATCCGAACGGGAAGTCATGGTGTTGAGTGTCCTGCTTGACCCGCCGACAGAATTATGCTTGAGTGAACGTTGAACAAGATGGTATAGGCCGGGGACATGTTCGCCGCTGCCAGTTTAGACGGAGCAAAGCTGCTGATACCCGAGCTTCCTCGCGCCTTCCAGAAGGTGTCTAGAGGACGGAAGGCACAGCAAGCAGCATGCGTTGCAACACGGCAAGCACGCAACATGCCGGGCGTGACTGACACTAACTGCCTTCCATGCCTCTGCAGTGCAGCGCGTGTGGCCCCCGCCACTTACCATTGGACTCTCAGCCTCCACTAACCACCACCACACTGCATCTCCAGTAGGCAGCCACCGCGGTGCGAGCGCATTTGCCAATCTTCAGCGACGTCTGGTCGTCTGCGGCGCAATCAATTCTCATGGCCGTTCAGAACAACACTTGCCCAAAGTGATGCTCGGCGATTGATCAACGCTTGAAGCATGGATCATGCACATCACCGCCAATGCTGGAATATTCTCCGAAAATGGCATCGTTGCAGAAGTCGCACGTGGCCTCGAACTATATTCCGAAGAGCAAGCGCTTTGGGCTTGTTGTACGATCTGCACTAGATATGCGTTCACGTTCGCCATCAACCTTGGGATCACTTCGGCACACCTGGACCCTGGAGACGTTCCCATGTACAGTAGCATCGCCTGTCGGCGCCAGCGGAGGTGACTTCCGACCCATGGCGAACTTCATAAGGGTGGTCAAAGAGGTGAAGACGCATGTCGGACCATGGAAGCATTCGACGGAGGAGCCTAGGCCTTTCATGGCTGTGACAACATCGAAGCCCGAGTGCCGTAGGGCTAGGTGCACTCGTTCAAACGAATTCTACATTCTAGCATCGTATCTGTGGCGTGTAGCATTGCGCTTGTCGAGTCTTACAAAATCGTCCGAAGAAGAGCCAGGAACGATGCCACAGCCTGAGCGACCTCTGGTTCGATTGTTGGGAATGTAAGTGGATGATCCTATTTTCCTTTGCCCCACGAGCTTTCAACGCATTGAAATCTTCTCTGTACTGTTTTCTACCCGCGCTTGGGACAGACTTTTCGTGGTGGAACTGTGCAATGCGTCGCATGTCTGTGTTGGATTTCGTAAAAAGCACAATGAGGACTCGTCCGAGACTTTGAAGTAGACTCCCTCCAGATCTATTCTTCTATCACTAGCAAAATTACCGGACCGATTCCCATTCATGCACTCGTCAACACGCCTTCCCTCGCAATCGTCTCACACGACCAAAGCATCTCTAATCTCAATCCTGACCTGCCCCTCATAACCCACAAACCTCACGCTCCTCATATCCCTCACAATCCAATCCGCCCCCGCCTCCTTCAACCTCCCAACATCATGCGTCGTAGCCAAAGCAACAACCTTATACCCCGCCGCCTTTCCACTCCTCACCCCCGCCGGCGCATCCTCCAAAACCAAAACCTCCTCCCCCTCCACCACCTCTCCCTTCCCCAACAACCCCGCCCCTTTCCTATAACACTCCGGATCCGGTTTCCCCCTCCCAACCTCCTCCGCCGTAACCATAAACCTCGGCTTCGCCAACCCCATAACATCCAACCACCCTTGCACAAGCGGCCTCGTCCCACTCGTAACAATCGCCCAAGGCGCCCCCACGGCCTCCAACTCATCCAGCAGCCTCCTCGACCCCGGAATTTCTTTCGCTCCATTCTCAGGATCATTCCCAAAAATCTTCGGAATTAATCCTTCCACATGACAAACATATTCCCAATTCGCTCGTTCGGGAGCCAAAATCGCGAGAACATCAATACTCCGTCTTCCATGTGAAGTTTTGAGAATTTCGTCCCCAGGCACGCCAATTTCCCGGCCAAGTTGTTGCCAGTGTTTTTCAATTGCTGCTGTGGAGTCGATGATTGTGCCGTCCATGTCGAAGAGGAGAGCGGAGAAGGAATGTGTGGAAGGAGGCGAGGAGAAGTTGTGCTCCTCGGGCTCTTGTGCAATGGATCCCATCTTGTTGAATGTTCTTGATTTGAAGGTATCGGGCTGTTCTTGCAAATTGAAACCAGTAATGCGGTCAAGCTGCCACGTGGATTTCTGTTGCACGTGCGATGGGCAAGGACGTGTGAGTAGAAGTGCGGGAGAGAAGGAAGATACTTGAGCCTGTTTTATCAAGAATTTGGGCAGCGTCTGGACTTGCGCGTCGTCGACGCCCACCGCCCTTGTTTTGAACCAAAACTTTTTGTCGGCGTTGAGTCGTCGGCTGCGGAAAGCGGAGCTGCCGCTTAAGGCAACTGCCGCTCGCTTCACAGACACTTGCTGCCACCAAATGCCAGACATCAGCAGGGCAAACCAAACATCAAAGTAGTTGTACAAGCAATCGACATTTTCTCTTCGGTATCGTTTTATTTACACAGCCAATCCAATATCTTACGCCTTCGCCAAATGCTAGTAACGCTCTTCCGCTAAACTGCTCGAAGAATGATCTTGGCGACACCACAGAGGACTTGAGTCGAGATGCGCCTACGAACCATCCATCGTAGGTCTGCCTTCCAGCTTACTGCTATGCACCTTGGCAGAGCAGCTTCCGTACCATGTGCACCGCCGTGCACCCCATAAGCATCTCGCATCATCTCATCTGCGCGCGCCGGCAGCTCGTAGATCGTACGAGACCTATGCCCTTCGTCGAAAATCCAACGCTCGTGCGATACCTCGTCGAAAACCTCGTCAAAGTCTGTCCGAATCGTGCCTCTGCGTCAATCCTTGACGCATAGTCACTCGTTATGTCCCGAACAGGGGTCTTGTCGAAAGGAAAGAATTTTTGAAAAAAGTCCACCAGTCCGAACGCCGTGTCAAGCCTCTTTTGCTCGCATCTATGCCCTGGTGACTTGGTAATGTAATGGAAATCAACAAACGCTTTTGTGTTCTTTTGAGAATAAAGTAGTATGCACGATGTGGCCGGAATCGTGCGCCAGACGCCATTTCGTGGATTGGTTAGCTGCTGCCGAGAACATCAACAGGCGGAGCAGCGACGGGTTACTGTACGTCATGTATTCGTCTCTTGGGGGTCGCGAACGTCCAGGCCTCCCTCCCACGGCTGCGCGTATGCGCAAAACAAGGCCAGGGCGGATCGTGAAGTCCACATTTTGGATTCGTATTGCGAATGCATTTCGAGCACGCGTGACCATTGCCTCATGACTCAAGTCGGGTTCGAAGGTCTTCGTCAACGATGTCGTTGAGTTTCTTCCGGTTCTTGAGGTTCAAGGCACCGTTGCGCCACGCCTGGCGTAGTTGCTTGAATCCCTGACCCTGAGTGCTGGCGGGTTCGATCTTGACAAGTTCCACGTAATCTCGCACAATGTGATCACGGATAGGCGTGCTGCTGGCGAGGGCCTTGGCGTAGAATTGGAGCAAGTTCTGCATGCCAGTGTTGTTGTTTCTGTTCTGCGCATCGTCGGTAGCATAGTACTTGAACTCGCCGTACATGCGGTGGTTGTAGTTTCGAATCAGGAAGTGTGACCAGAATTGATAGAGCACATCGAGATCGTACGGGCAATTGCCAGTTGAAGCTTCATCTCGCTGCTTGAGTGCTTTGAGGCGGAGGTGCACATATGGCTCTAGCGTCGTGCCCGCAGGAAGTGCTTCATGGGGTCGTTCGCTGTTCTTGATCCAGAGCAATGGGAGCTCATTGTTGACACCCTTCTCAGGCGATCGACCTTGGCTTGGGCTGGCGTGACGAGAGATGTCTGGAGTGGAGTGATCACCATTGGTGGCTGGCTCTCCATTCGTCGCCGGCTTCGCAGCGTCATCTCCTGCCTTTTCAAGTTCGCCAAAGATGCTTCTGGTGTCAATGGATCCGTTCGAAAAGGTGCGGGCGGCAGCATGCTGTGGCTTTTGCAAACCTAGCTTGAGAATGACAGTCAGAGTACTCGCCTGCTCGTCAGGAAAGACATCGCCCTCGCCATCCTTCGCATCGATGGGGCTGCTCAGGTTGGCCATCCCTTGACTTGAGCCATTCTCGCGTACGGGTGACTTGGTGGCACGGCCACGATCTTCATCTCCGCGCGTCGCGTCGCCGTAGCCGAAGTCATGCGCGGGCGCAAAAGGCGCAAAGCCTGGCACAGCACCGTTCATGGCGTAGCCGGCATCATATGACCGCCGCTGAGAACCCGGCAGGCCAGCGGACGCTGGACCTCGGAAGGCATCCACGGGCGGAGGAAATGCAACAGCAGGAGGCTCTGGGCGCATCAGAGTCTTTGGACCCTCTGTCTGCGCTGCGGGCTCGCGCTGGTCCATTGGCATAACGAATTGCTCCCATCCATCCTGCCTCCGCAGACGATCCTTTCCATCGTCGCCAGTCTTGATCTCGATGGTTTCCGATCTGAGACAAACAGCCTTGAGAAGATTGGGGTCTGCCGATAGCTGCTTGATTCGGTTGAAGTTCGAAATCACGTCCAGGAAGACGAAGCCTTGCGAGTCCATGTTCTTGCGCAGGTACATGTCTTTAAGCAAGTTGTCAATTGAGAAATAATACTCAAGCTGAGTGCTGACCATTTCGAAAAGGTATTGCTGCTCAGCGACTTGTGCGTAGGGGATCGCGCTCATAGGCATGCCAGAGTAATCGTACATTCCAGGATAGTAGGTCTGTACTGGAGGGATTCCAACCGCCGGACCGTAGCCGAAGCGACCACCATAAACCTGATCAATGGGGATGGACTGTGAGCGAGGGTTGCCACGCCAGCTTCCACGGCCAGGCTGGGCGAACCCGAAGTTCCCGCGTGGTGATTGGAAGGCAGAAGGAGAGTGAGGAGCACCATAAGGACCGGTGAACTCGGCGTGGCCGTTGGTGAACGGCTGACTGGATTGATGGCCATTGGCGAACTCACGCGAGCCACCACGGCCTCGACCGCCACGCTTGCTGCCACGTGGGGCACCTGTCCATTCTTTGCCATTGTAGCTTTCGAAGTTGCGGTCCTTCTTGCTATCCGAGGGGACTCTTCGTACAGGGGCCTCGCGATTTGCATCCGCGCCCTCACGCACATCCTTGACGCCGGCATCTTTCGATGATCGTGGGATAGGTTCCGGTGCCTTGACATCCTCAGAGGCGGCGAGCTTCGCCGGTGAGCTCGTGCGTTGAGATTGAGTAACACCCTTCGCAGAAACGTCCTCCAAGGCAGGATTCGCTGACGTCTTTGCCAGACTCTGACCTCGAACCTGGCTCCCTGCTCGGGAGCCGCTTGCTGTAGCTTTGCGACTTGGTTTCGCTGGTGGCGGCATTGCTTCACGATCGATGTCGGAGCGTCCACGAGAGGTGGCTCCAGCGTTGTCGGCATCGCTTGGTGACGACTCTTTCTTGGTGGCAGCACGATCGCCGCCCTTGGCTCCGTTAGGACCGCCACGAGCACCTCCACGCCCACGTGTGGAGGTGCCACCACGGCCACCTCGATCGCCACCCGAGCCGCGAGGCGGTCGGTTCATCTCTTCTGTCGCCCAAACGATTGTAGGTGTGACAGGAATCTGGGTCCACTTCGTCTTTTCGCGTGGCTTGGCATTTGATTCGCCTTCAGCGCCTTCGCTTGTCTTCTCCTTCTCAGCAATGTCTTTGCGCTCCTTGTCTTCCACTCGCTCTGCCTTGTCGGGCGTAGGCCACGAGGTCTCGTCCTTGACGGATGGAGGGACAGCATGGAGGTTTGGTAGGCTTTGATGCTCGCGTTGCGCCTTTGCGGGCGGGGGCGTCGCGTCGTTGCGACCGCATTCTGTAGAGAGCTTTGAGCCCTGACGAGCTTGAGATTTTTCTTCAAAACGCTTACCTTGAGGAACACTGGGCTTCTTGGTGTCGCTGCTATTTTCGGCGTCCCGTGGGAGGCCGGTGATCGAGTTCGCCTTCTTCCTCGAATCTGCTCGAGGTCGCTGGTTCTCCTTCATCGCTGGTACGGGGACGGCAGGTGGAGCTGGCTTCGGTGCTTGAGGCACTGCGACAGGGACCGGCTTGGGTGCCTCGACTCGTTTAATGGCCCACGGGTTGACCGATGGCGGTGCTGCCTCGGTATACACCACAGGCTTTGGTTCAGGCTTAGGCGCCTCTGACTCTTTGGACGCCTTGTCACCCTTCTTGCCCTTTCGGGCGGGACGATCACTGCCCTTGCCATCCTTGTCGTGGTCTTGACGCTCCTTGCGTGCAGCAATCCACGAGGGTTCTGAGTTCTGTGCAGAATTGTCCGACTTGGTGTCCCATGTCGTCTCTGACGAGCCGTTGGTCTGTGGTGCCGAGGAGGAGTCCTCACTGGCGGTGGCAGTATTTGGAGTAGCCACGAGATCTGGCGATGGCGCTCCGGAAGTACCATTGGCCAACCTGGCGTCAGTCTTGGTGCCCTCTACCGCATCGTCTTTTGTTGGTGCAGGCTTGGACTGTTCCTGCGCAGTTTTGCGGACATCTGATTTCTCGCCCGCGGTCGACTCCACATCATCAGCCCAATTGCTATTCGGACCCAGCTCTGAAAATGTGCCTGTGGCTGGCGTTGCCGTGCCAGATGTGACCTTGCTCGATGGAGCTTGTGACGTCGCCGTCGAGGTCTTGCCCCTTGCCGCCTGGGCGTATGAGAAGCCACTCGGGCTCGATGTTGAGGCAGCCATTGCGAGTGATGCAATGCTGCTCCGTGAGATAGCTTGGGTAGCTCTGCCTGACTTGCGGCCGGCACAGCGCCTTCAAACAGATGTGCCCAGTTGGGCTAATTCCAAAGATTGACCAGCAGCCGCTGCTGCGCCTGGAAGACCTCTCGCTCAACGAGAAAGAGCCTGCCGCTTCCGCCGCACGCGATCACACCCAACGTACGAGGTCGGGATTCGGGATGGAGTCTGGCTGCTTCTTACTGCAAATGTGTTGCGAAGGTCTGCAATGTGTCGATGAACGGGAATGGATGCGAGAAGCACGTTGTCCAGCGGGTGGAATGAAATGTGCTGCGTTGCTCGTGTCGCCGTGAAGGGGTCGTCGGATCGGAGATGGCAGGGAAGGGTGCTAGCAAGCGGAGCAAGCAATTGACAAGCACGTGTCTAGTCGAACATTGATGGTCAGCAGCTGCGGCAGGCTCGCGGCGACGATGAAGCAACGATGGTGCGACCGCGAGTAACGGGGCAGGTGCGATGGAGGGAAATCGACCTGACCTACCCGGACGATTAAGCTTTGCTCTGCACAGAACCTGGCACTGGGCGAAAAAAGATGGTGTGACGTCTGGGCCCAGAGGTCGGCGACGATGGCGATTTGGTGGAAGATGGCGTAACCTCGTCGTCCGTCGAGCGGTGCTGCTGCCAGCGATGGGCGCGGAGTGGTGGGCAGAGGCGAGCAGCGGGCGTGCGGTGGTGCAGGTGGTGGTGATGCGGATATCGCTTGAGAAAGAAATTGTGCCACGGCCGGCGGAGCGCAAGTGGCCCGGGCGTGCACGTGCGACACGTTTCTGGCGTCGAGTCTTCCGCGGGCGGGTCAGCGACGGACAGCGTAGGCGCGGCGGGTGCTGGAGCAGCGGCGGCGAGAGGGGGAGGGGGTTGCGGCAATATCAGAAAAAGACCTGCGTGTGTGCGAGAGGTGAGTGCAGGTGGAGTTGGTACCGTGAAAACACCACAGCAAGCAAGCAAGCAAGCAAGCATCGTCGGCACGGCCGGGAATACATGACGCTACAGAGCTCACCCTCGACACGACTCGACTCCCCTCCTCCGCTCCCCTCCCCTCCCCCACTAGAGCAGCCTCTACACGCTGCACGCGATCAGCACCGCGAGTGTCAGTGCGCCTGGTCGCTTGTCTCCTGCACCGCTGCTCTCAGCTGCGGCATTCCATGTCGAATGAAGTGAGGAGACTTGCTCCACTCTCGCGTGCATTGCATGCATCGGCGAGCACAGCAGCAGTTCACTCCTCTTCCTCTCCTCCTCTTCTCTCCTTCCGAGCCGCCGTTAAGCGCCATTCCGCTGCTCGCGTCTAGTACGCAACTCCATCTCTCCGGCCTCGCGCCATGATTTACTTCACCGTTCAGCTCACTGGACATGGAAGGCGTTGAAACGGTGCCAAGTGGAACGACAAGACAATAACCTAGACTACGATCTACTGCTCACTTCTAAGCCCTACTTGCAGCATCACCGCCGTAAAGCTGCGTCGCCTCCTCATCCTGGCGGAACAACTCCAGCAAGACCTCTCGCTCGCGTTCCAGGCCACGAGCAAGCGCTTCTGCAATATCCGCCATCCTCACTTTCTCCTCCCTGATGCCCTTGAGCGCTTCCTCCAGATCCTTCTGCACTTCATCCGCCGTTCCATTGTCGATTTCGAGCTTCCCAAGCTGCGTGGCGCGTCTCTCGCACTCCTCGGCACGCTTTCGCCATCTGTCACGCGACTCCCGATTCTGCTTAAATTTCTCCACGTTGGCTTGTGCAATTCCGCCGTATTCCATCTCGATATCCGACACGTACGCGTGCATTGCGCTGTTGGTGAGCGCCCCATTTGGCACAAATGTGCTTCTGGCGTGCGGATCAATGGGCCACATCAAGTTCGAGGGCCCGAACCCCCGATGCAGCATCAGTGAAAGCAAGGAATCGAAGCGGCGCGAGGAGCCTTCCCAGAACCACAGCAACTTCCGCAAATTCTTGTAATGTTCGGTAAGATCTCCATTGTTATTGTCGAATCCACATATCTGTGCTCTGGCAAAGGCCACCTTGGCAGAGCACCCAGGCCGCAAGTAGCGCACGACGACAATTGTCTCATCGGGCAGAGCTGTCAAGCAATCAGGTATCCAGTGTCGATCCCGTGCCCAATAAGACTGCTCGAGCGATGAGCCTGACGCCTTCAGTCTGGTATCCGTTTGCTCCCGCAGTGTGCTTATGCACGCTTTATGGGCCTGGATCGTGAAACTAACATCATGTGAGTCTCCACCGTGCTTTCCTAAGAGACTAGGGATCGACTTACGCGCCATACAAGTATGAGTCTTCATACTCAGGTTTCTCATTTCCATGCACAAATTCGTCGTAGAACTCGAAGACACACGAATTGAAGAAATGCTGATCCTGTAGAAACATTTGCTCAAGTCGCTGCAATGGTGCACCAGTAGCTATCGGGTGATCCATCTTAGCATGGTGAATGTTGTTGAATCTCGCAACATCGTAACCTTTCCCGAAGTGCTTCGTTGGCAGGTTACTCCGCCACGAGACGACACCCGAAGCTGCTGGCAATTCCGCCGTCCAAGGATACAATTTTCCCAAAGAAGTCTCAGAAGCTTGAAGCACAATCTGCATTGCGCGGAGGACTCTCCACATGGGAATGTTCATGTAATGCATAACACGGTCTGGATCTTGTTTAAGGAGCGCAAGCTGTGTGTTCCTGTAGATGTCAACGTCCGGCCTTCGCAGTTGGATTGCTTCATCCCTGGACAAAGTGTTGAGACCACTCTTGGCTGCGGCAGTGAGAAGCGTCTCTCGCAGCCGCTCCGGCCAAGTCATAAAATAGCTGACGAGACCATCAGTGGCTTGGTATCCTTCGTAAACCCTCGTCTCTCCATCCTTGATTTCGCAGAACCAGACTTGAGCATTTTCGAAAAGTTCTCGTCCTGCTCCTATGCTGTACAAGCAGACTACAATCCACTCAGAAGAAAGATGCGAGTCGTCGCACCATCCGGGCAACAACAACGACTGCGTGACGCTGGACTCTCGATATACCTGTATAAAGTGTTCCCTGAAGTCCGTGATATCGAGAACGACGCATTCAGACCCAGCTTCTTGGGCTTGCAGAGTCTGAACAGTGTCGAATGTTCCTCCTTGACCTGGCTTGCCAAACTTGGTACATCCGGTAATGTTGCCAGCCATCCAGTGCTTGCTGTTGTGTGCCGCCTCCTGTCCGCAGAGAACACAGAAAGACTTGCCACATGCTCCATTGCGACAAAATACTGAATTACATCCCTCGGACAACATGTACTTGCTCCGGCAGCCAGGACAATATTGGAAGTCCTTTCCGGCCTCCAGGCCAGCGAAAGCATCCTCGCCAGCAGTGGGTTCAGAGCTGGCGGGAACACATTCGTGTGGTCTTTGAATGTATATCGGAAGTCCACTGCACTTCGGGCATATATCCCAGAGCAAGTCTGGCACTTCGCTTGTGGTGAGCTCGAAAGAGAGGCCTTGCTGCCGACGAAGGCACCGCATCTAGCGACTCGACTGTTCGTATCAATCATCTTTTCGATCCTTGCAATATCCGCGTCCGAAGTGATCGCCGAACCATCAGCAGAGACGGGATGTTGGCAGTAGAGCCGATCGTGACCAGGTGTCCGGTATTCGCTCTCTTTTGCTTCGAACCTTGTCACAAAGTCCCCGCCCAGGTGAGCATTCAGTACGGCTGCATAGTCGCGTGCTTTGAGTGGAGGTTCACCCTAGAACATGGGTCAATCAGCATTGGACAACAATTGTATCGGCGACATTGTCTACGCATACCTCTGCCCACCGGCACTCGCTCCAACCTCCTTCAGTGCGTAAAGCTGCCTGAAATTTTGGCACCATTTCGCTGGAGAAGCAATCATTGCAGATCTTGTCGTTGTCCTTGCCGATGAAAACCCAACTGCCAGGTCCAACATCGTCGCAACAGACGCCGCACTCGATCGTCTCATTGCTCTCTGCCATGTGAATGACCTCGTTTGTAGGCAGTGTATGTTGCAATGTCAACGATCCTCAGGTTTCGTTCAATTGGTAAACGAGGTTCGGACAAAGCGCGCTACGACTGTATCAACATCGACGCTTTAGGCTAGAAGACTTCAGCGTATTCTTTGTCTGTCGCGAACAAAGTTCCGGCCGAGCCAGAGCAGTGCGACCATAGCGTGGAGGCCTAGCAGCAGCAGTAGGTTAGTCGGTCAATACTTCAAACTCAAGCTGTCCATCTTCATCGTTTCACAGTGCAGCGACGCTGGCGTCCTTGAACGATCGTGAGGATGCCGAATGTACTGCATGTGGCGGTATGTTCGCCAGGTATCCTTCGAGATAGGAGTGCGTCCATTGGTGACGCAGTAGGTTCAATAATCGTTCTAAATATGCATGCGCTGCTCTACATTGCTTCATCAGTAATGGCGCTCTAGCCACGACAAGAAGCTCGCTTTTGCCACGACTCAGCTTTGAATCCTGTTCAGTGTGCGCCAGACGCCACGCTCATCCTGACAACCGCGACTCGGCCACTGCAATACTGGCTTTCTACCATCACTCACTCCTTCATACTGCCATTTCGCCAATTTTGCTGAGTCCTTTCAATGACCCGAGGCTCAATGCAAGGCCTTGCGACCTGCTGCGTATCCGCATGAAACCAGTCACAGGACCGTTTTCGCCTTCTTTCTCCACGCTGAGATTAGCGAGAGCATCCTCCCCTGTTTTACAAGTCAGCTAGTGGTCCAATGGTAGGTGTGAAGCATAACCACTTACCGAAAACGCTTCGAGCATATAAATTGGCGCTCAAGAACTGGCATTCGCCCTCCAAGCTTGCTTCAGGTGTCAGGCAACTCATATTCGTCACCTTCATCAGCCGCTGTAAGAATTCTCTCAGGCCTGCGCCCGATGGCATCTTTGTGTTGATGTTGACCTTGTTCTCCCATTCAAACTCGGTCCACATCGTTCTAAATTGGGTCTCAGTGCACGATGCTGGCTGTATGTAATCCATGATATCCACATGTACGTCATTGAGGATGACAACGTTCGATTCGGTCGACGAGTGCCCATCGTATACCACGTTGCCAAAGATGACGCCGGTATCTGTTGATGAGACCTTAATGGTTGCCTGCACATTGAGAAAGTCGAGCCCTGGCAAGTTCTGAGTCGTAGGTCTCTCGACGACTTTGAGGTCGCCCAGTGTGGCGAACTCGACGGAGAGATTCTGCAATGTCTCGCGCGTCTGGTTGACCAGTAGCACATCGAGGATGATATCAAACTGATGGACTTGCACATATGCTTCCGCATAAACAGGATCCGAGAAACCAGTCAATTGCACGACCCGGCTGAGCTTCGAAGTGAGATCTTCGGTCGTCGCATCGCCGCCCGTGGCTTTTTCCAAGTCAATCTCTGCTTCATCGGCGTTGTCAACGGCATTCTTCGGTTTCAGCTGCCGGATAGATACTAGATCATCGACCTGGATCGCGTTCTTTGCCTGGAGAAGGGCTTCTTTCGCAGCTCGCTTCTTCTCCTCAACCTGCACCATCGACTTGAAGGCCTGCCTGGTATCGTCGAGGAACGCGACCTCGAGGTCCTTCTTTTGTTGGAACTCCGCGAGTGATCGCACGCAGGCCATTATTCGGTCCACGGAGTCCTCATCAATTGGTGCCTTCACAAATTGCGACTGGCCCGCGCGGATGATCGAGATCATGATCAGCATGGCTTCAGCGCGGAGGGCGTTTGTTCGCGCTGCGTCATTAGAGATCTCTGAGTGTCGCATCACAAGCTTCGTCAACGTGGAAGACAGCACTGTAGCCAGGAAGTAATCCCCATCGAGGATGAGTTGGCGGAGAGGTGGTTTCTGCGCAGCCTTCACAGCGTCCAACTTGGCTTTGGCGGATGCATCACTCGTGAGCGCACTTTCTGTGGCATATGTGCCATCTGCGAGCACTTTCCTTGAGCCGCTTGGTTGTGCAGGTTTGACATCGCCATTTGTTTGTCCATTGACTTCTGCGTCGCCATCTGGTTGCTCCTCCAGCAGTCGCTGCTCGGACGCAACGATAGGGATCTCGCCAAGGCTGGCCCGAATGCGCTTCCACGCATCTCTGATGTCTTTCTCCTCCAGGGAGTATTCTCCGATGATCCACAGACTGCCGCGATAGACTTTGCCAGCACGCACTTCACTGAGAGTTGAAACTAGTCTTTCAACTATCGAGCTGCGCATGTTCGGGAATCGTTCCACAACCTCCTTGACGAAAGAGATGACATCTACGGCTGACGCGTTGTTGAAGTCGGAGATGAAGTCCATGAGCAAGCCGACAACACTCTGTGCAATCTCCGAAAACTTGATGGCGCATTGATGTATCGAGTGAATCAAAAGCGATCGGTATTCGTTGTTCTTCTCGTACTGCTCGTCCACGGTCTTGGTCAACTCCTTCTTGAGTAACAATACGACCTCTTCCACGTTTTTGCTAGACACCATATCCATGGCCAGATCCAGAGCCTTTTTGCGCACGTCCAAGTCGGGGCTCGAAAGTACGCGCAATATCTCCATGACCAGGTCGTCCAAAATGCCCTCGTTGGCCTTGCGTAAGGCATTGACCTTTTCGAGAACGATAAGTTTGACGTTGTTGTCCGACTCCTTGATGGCAAGCTCAATGAACTTGGACGCCGCAGCCTTCACAGCTACGGGGTTTGTGGTGAGAGCTGTGAGCGACGAAGCAGCTTCGTAGACCACAGTTGACTCCTTTGCTTCGAGAAGATCGAAGATGAGTCGAAGGTATCGTGCCTTATTTCCCTGATTCAACACTGCATCTTTCCGAATGAACTCGAGCTCCACGAGCTGCAGCAGTTCGCTCGAGTTGGGGATTCCCTCAAACACACCACTCAAGTATTCTAGAGCCTTTTCGTGGCTGATGCTAAGAAGGGCGGCGAAGGCATTGCGTTTGCAAGTGTTGTCGCTTTCGGACTCGAGGAAGTTCTGGATGAGCTCGGGAGCATCGGGCATGAGGTGTTCGGAGTGCTGGAAGATGGACGCAATGGCGAAGACGGCATTTTTGCGCACATAGGAGTGGCGGTGTTCGAGACAGGCGCGCGCAGGTGCTAGGAGTGGCTCGATGAGCTCGGCTTCGCGCAGCTTGCACAGGAAGCGGAGTGTGTTGCCGCGGATGTACTCGTTTGGGTGTTGAAGGTCCATTCGGATGCCATTGCTGGGAATTCGTTAGCCACTGAGCCCGCAAGACGCATGCCTCACAACGTTCTGCCATACCAGACCAAAATCATTTCCTGCTTCAGCTTGCCATTGGAGTCCAGCTTGGGACAGATCTCGTAGTATAGGTACAGCAGCTTTTTGAGCGCCTTATTCTTGCTAGGCATAACGAAGCGGATGATGTGCATCAGCAGACCTGGCATGGGATCGCCATTGAGCATGACGGTCAGGATGCGCCGCATCGTCTCCTGCTTGCTCTCATCGGTGCCCTTCTCCAGCTGGTTCTTGAGGTCCTGCTGCGATGGTAGATCGGCGAGGTTGTCCTGGTGCACCAGGCTGTACGAGTTCTCGAGGAATGTCGCCATGGTGGGCTGCGGGTGTGGTTATGGAGAGGGCGAGCAGCGATGGGCGTATTGCGGGCGAGTGCTCTCGCAGACCGCACTTCTCAGCCAGCCCCTCCGTGCTTGTGCCAGCACTGCCGACGTTTCCTGCACGCCGGAGCTTCCCAAGTGGTGATGCGCGCGACCGGGTGGGAGATGGAGGCGACGACGAGGAGATTCGTTAAGCAGCGAGGTGCCTGTGCAGGTCGTGGCTGATCTATGTCGTTGCCAGGAGTGTGCTACGTTTCCTCACAGCCAGACCCTAGGATTTCCTGGTCGCGCCAAGGGATCGATCTGCGCGAACAGCAGCCCGCGACATCTGCAAACAACCGCCGCACCACCGCCCGCTTCGCTCCATCTCCACCACTGCTGCTCCAAGCACAGCAACGCACGATGCCGGAGTCCGCTGGAGAACCTTTCTACGTGCGCTACTAGTAAGTCTCCCGTGACAAGGATGTGGCGAGTGCCTCCCTACGGGCATTCCTGCTACACCATTTCTTGATCAAACCTTAGCAGGTGCATAACGAGCTGACACGTTGACAGCTCAGGCCACTCTGGTCGCTTCGGGCACGAATTTCTCGGTACGCAGAGTACGGTCGGGCACAGGCACACCTGCTGACGTCGAGTCAGAGTTCGACTTTCGAGTGGTCGGCGACGGTCGATCGGCAATTGCACGATATGCCAACAACTCGAACTACCGCAACGATTCCCTGATCCGCAAAGAGAGTACGTATGAGTCTTTCGGCTCCTGCAGTCAGTATTTCTTCGATGGCGTTGACATATTGCAGTGTGCGTGAGCGCCCTCATGGTTCAGGAGATCAAGCGCATCATTAAGGACAGCGAAATTATGAAGTGAGGACGTAATAGTGCGATCATTTTCAGCGCTCAGGATACTGACCCCATACAGAGAAGATGATACGAAATGGCCACAGAAGAATAAGGATGGTAGACAGGAGCTTGAAATCCGCATGGGCGGCGAGCACATCTCTTTCGAGGTCAGTCAACTGTGTTCGGCAATGCCTCGCCAATCTAACGTCGATCAGACCGCGAAGATAGGCTCCCTTGTGGATGTCAACGAGTCGGAAGATCCAGAGGGACTTCGCGTCTTCTACTACTTGGTACAAGATCTGAAGGCACTGGTCTTCTCTCTGATCTCTTTGCACTTCAAGGTGAGCATATTTGAACCTACTAATCGGGGTATCTCATGCTTATGGCACAACAGATCAAACCCATCTAGACCAGCAGACAAGCGAAATCATTTCAGACGATGAATGTTGTGTACTGCCACGCATCCGCGCCTCCCATCGTTCAACACTAGCCCATTCGAATGCTCGGTACACTTATCGAGAAGAAGGACAAAAACGACGTAAGGTTGACGATGATTGTAAGACCTGGAGAGCATCAAAACTCGCACGCTATGCACTCCTATTCAGGTGGACCCTCGATGGAGGAGGGAAATTTACTTCAATCTTGGTACCTCGAGGCAGAGTATGATCTCGTGTGTGGCAACGGGAACACGAGAGCGCCGATCCATGAGTACGTCCAATGAGTGGCGTATTGATAGCCGGTGACGAAGGCACGTGTTGCGCTGCGAACTTTCGTCTATAGCACGACGACTGGCACAATCATGGCATAGTCTTTCTGCTGAGATATCATCAGGAGACAAGTTCAATGCTGTTCCATATTGACTTTCACATGTTCTGGCTGCAATGAGGGTCCAACGCACGGACATGCGGCAGTCTCCGCCTCGGGAACCGGGACTAAACCTCAGCTGATACCGATGACATCGCAACATCGCACGCATCAGTCGTTAAGCCGACGACGACGACAATACCATTGACGACCATCTCCTGTAACTCTTCTCTTCTTGCTTGTTTAAATTACTTTCCCTCGTAATCGCATTGTGGTCATGCATTGTGCATCGTAATTCGACCCTCTGCACACCCGCCCTCCGCGACAGTGTCACGCGAGTGGAGCACCCAACGATGCCCACTCCAAGTGACGACCACATCCCGCCGACAGTCGATGCCATCGTCCCCGATACCGATATCGCGAGACACGGTTGTCCGCCTGAGGACCGACGAGAACAGCTTGCGCCGCGCGAAGAGCAGCGAGAATCGCCGAGTCCGTCCGCTCGTGCGGACAGAGGCAGCGGGGGCGAGCACCCGGCAGTTGATTCGATGCCCGTTCCTTCTCCCGAGGACACACAAAGCAATGAGATAGTAGAGTCACCGGACGTGCCCAGACGGCCCTCAAAGGCTGAGCTGAACGAAGACGCCTCTGTGGCGGCCGACCCGTCCAGTCCAACTGTTGGATCACTGTCACCGCCTTCTGACAGCGACTACAAGGCGACACAGCTGGCACAATCTCTATCGAACACTGTGATTTCGCCCGAGCAAGATGATACCCAACTGCCACTCTATCTACATTACCCTGAGCTCGACTGGCATCGACAGACCTCACCGAGCTCTACGACCTCCTTCTTGCGACCAGGAAGCAAATTCAGGGGGACTCAACAATCAGACCGCCAGGTCTATGATGTACAAGTAGAACTCAAAGACGTTGACCTTGCCGAGTCCACGCTCTGTGGATATCTGCGCATCCAAGGTAAAAATCTGAAGCGGTTGGCTTTTCGTCTCGATGCTGACCATCACCAGGACTTACCGATGATCATCCCACACTAACCACTTTCTTCGAAGGCGAGATCATTGGGCCAAAATACCTATTCCGCACATCTCATCCGTCTTGGGGTAGCTCCGAAAAGGTCGACCTGCAGCACTGGGCGCGATTTCCAGCCTGGCGACCACTGGCGAAGGCGGCTAAACAGAATCCTGCATTCACGCTGAGCAGAAGTTTCGATCGCGAACACATGTTCATGCGGTGGAAGGAATACTTTCTTGTGCCCGACCACAGGGTCAAAACCATCACAGGTGCCAGTTTCGAAGGGTTCTATTACATATGTTTCAACCAAGCTAGCGGAGCAGTCAGCGGAATATATTTTCATGCAAAGAGCGAGAAATATCAACAATTGGAGCTAAGTCACGTGGAAGACAGAGGCTGTTTGAGCGCGGTCGAGTTCCGATAGCCACGGCTGAACGCGCAAGAGGAGTGAGCTCGCGAGAGATCGAGCTTTCATGCGACCGCTGAGGGGTTGCGAAGACGAGGCGTTTGACATTCGTTTGATAGCGTTCGGGCGTACTAGGGGACATGGACCGGGCGGCAACCCGGGCACTCGCGTAGCACAGCATGCGTAGAAATGGGAATGGCAGAGCAGGAGGCTCCATGAGCTTTGTACAATTTGCGCAACGCGAACAGGCATGTCCAGCACGTTTGGTCTTCGATGTGCGGATAGTGAGATTGCACGTGAGGGCCTGGCCAGACTTTCTACGCGGAACGCGTTCCGGATTCGAACCGAGAATTTCACCCTGTCCAGTTCCCCGCTGGCATCACAGTGGCATCTCACTCATCCTCCGCGCTCGTCGACGATGTTGTCCCGCAACCGCCGCAGTCATTCTCGCTGTGGCTCGCCTGCGACTGTGCTACGAGTAGCAGCGTCTTGTGTTTCATGCAGTCACGGCAGATTCACGACCTCTCCTTCCAGCCGGGACAATCACGGCATAACTCCAGCCAGTGGGGAAGGCTACGACGACCAGTCAGCACGGCCAGTGGCTGTGCACAGCATCGATGAATGAGAGTATAAGTCTCAGGGGCTTTCTGTGACGCATGCGCTCGTATCGCTAGCAATGCTCACAGACAACCACAGGTCCTGACCGCTGCCAATTCGGCTCTTCGACGGAAATCAAGATCATCCTTGAGAACAGCACTGTTCAATGCCGAAAAGCTGCTACCGTCACCACCTCAAGGCCTGCCCCGGCGCTCTGCCCGTCGTACCGTAAGGCTCAGGAGCCAAACATCTCAGCCAGTACGCTCATACAGTCCAGGTGTCGAGTAACAGAGGAGAACTTGAAGCTCTTTCAAAGCTGTCGCGCCATCTCAGAACGATCGCGATCCTGGATCCTTCTCAGGTCCATGATCTGATGCACTCACCGCCTCCGCTACGCAGAATCCGTTGCACAAGGTCACGGTTTACACAACGTACCTGGCGAGCGTCCATACTCCGCCCCTATTGATGCGAACCTCCGGACTAGTCCACATCGGCGAACGCATTCATGAACAGCCGTCGGGGCCTTACTCACAGGGCCGGTTTGACTAGTCTTCGGCACCGCGGCTGCGCACGTATTGCTTACAGGTCAACAATGCTTCGTGAAGCTTGCCATCGATCCACAGAGCCATCGTATTCCCAATTTTAGCCATTACTGAGGGTATGGAGGGGCACTGCAGGTCTTTGATGGTCCCTAGCACGGCCGTCAACCTGGTCAGTATATGACTGCGCTGCCTGCGTAGCTGTCCATCGTCCGCATCCTTTCCTTCATTCGCTCTTTTGCCCTGCTAAGCACCTTTCGTTGACAGTCTTTGCATTATTTCGTCTCTCATTAATTGCTAACTTTTCCTCGATCCGATGACGCGATTCATCGGAGCTGCAGCTTTTGCTGCAGCTGCTTCAGCAGCGGCACTGCGAAGGGGCGATATGAACGGATGCGGCTTTCACATCAAATCATCTGGCGGCCTTGATTGTACTATGGGCCAGTTCGAGGACGGTCAGAACAGACTCAACGGGTCCTACCCGGTGGCAACATACTACTTCTCGAATGGAGGAATCACCGACGGAAACGGGCGCCCTTGCATCGTGACCACCACGAACGATGCCACGTAAGGTTTCACAAGAGGATGCGATCAGAGGGTAAGGTCACTAACATTCTTCGGATCCCAGTCACCAATTCCAATGCGATGAGAACTCGCCTGGCGGCCCAACTCGTGGCTTCACGATCTCCAACGACCGCAAGATTGCGTACAACGGCAACACCCAGGTACAACGGCAACACTCAATTCTTGTTGAAACTCTCTGATGTCTTGAACAACAGTTCTTCGCCTGCAGATACATCGACGAGTACAATGTTTACACGGACAAACTCAAGGGTCAGGACAAGTGCTTGCCTGTCGAGCTTAGCGCCGACAACGATTGTGCTGCTGGCTCTTCTGGTCCAGGCCCATCGCCCAGCTCTCCCAACGGCTATGGACCTCATGCGTCCGTTCCACCATACCCCAACACCACCCCAACCAAGCCAAACGGTGTTCCTGGAACTGGCACCGCACCAAGCTATTCCAAGACCTCTCCAGCAAGCCCAGTCGGCGAGACGCCAGGCGTCCCTGGCAATGGCCAGCCTCCTTCTTATGGTGGCGAGAAGCCATCTCCATCGGCTCCGTCGTCTCCAAACTCGCCTCCAAGCTACGGGCAACCTCCTTCCGGCGAGCAGCCAAAGCCTTCGTCTCCGTCTTCGCCAAACTCTCC